TTTGAGTAGATGGCCAGGCTGCAGCGAGAAATTGGCAGCCTGAGGGGCTTCTGGGAGTCTCCAAGTGAGACAGATAGGAGGTCTCAATCTGCCCCTACTGAGGCCCAGCAGCCCCCTCCTAAGACTCTGCGAGGGGTAGTAGCTGATCCTGCTGTTTACCTGCAGGACAGAGGGCTTGACAGCTCATGAGACGAAAGGGGTTGGACCCTCGTCTCTGCTTGAAGCAGAAGGAGGCATCTGCCCCCAACGCCCATGGTGCCACCAACCCCCACAGTGTTCCAGAGAGAGGGAGTTAGGTGAATTTTATCAAGTAGAGATAGAGTGCGGACAGTATTAAACTAGTGGATGCTACTTAGTGTCTTTGCTGAATCTTTTTCATTGTGCAAATTAATTAAAGCAAAAAGCTTTGGGCCCCTTACCAAAGTTAGTGTCTTGATAAGAGTGTGAACCTATCTTAAGAAACTGGCAGAAACTGATCCTGCGGATGAACGAGAGCAAAGGAGCAACTGAGTCGGTGCAGAGACAAGAGGTCAACCAGCGGTGATGAGGAAGAGTCACCAACTTTCATGCTCAAAACCCCCAGCAACCACTACCAGGAGACACTGCTCAAGTGCAGACAGGAGGAGCTTATGGAAATGACTTCTTAACTAATTTTAATATGAAGCAGGGGCAGGTTATGATTATGTATAGACACATTGTGAAACTTCATGCATATGTAACTCTGCTGCATATGACCTTGGAAGTTGCTGCATCAGGCACGCATGACTTTGGTGGGACTACCCCTGTGCTGCCCAACGCTGAATAAACATACCTACTTTACAATCTTACTGATTGTGGTGTCCGGTTTCTGCAAGTCATCCCATCTGCAAGTAATAGATTCGAAGCTCTCAGGCAGGAAAAGGAAAAGGATGAGGGTCTGGACAGCAGTCAGAAACCTGGGCCACAACAAGCATGTTAAGAATGAGGGGAGTACCAAACATAGGGAGCGGGGCCAGACAGGGCACTGCATCAAAACCAGTGCCACAAAAAAAGGGCGGAGAGTCTTAGTGACTGGAGACTTCTAGCTGGGGGGCACTGAGGCTCCCGTTTGTCATCTGGATAACCTCTCCAGAGAGTTGTGCTGTCTTCCCGGGGCACATCAGAGATGTTAGGAAGGCTTTGCCACAGCTTGTTAAACCAGAGGACTACCATCCTCTTGTTGTCATTCAGGTTGGGTCCTGGGAAGCTTCAACAAGAAAAACGAATAATATTAAACAGGATTTTGCATCCCTGGGAAGGATGTTAAAGGGATCGGGGGTGCAGGTAGTGTTCTCTGTCCTCCCCATGGGTGACAGGGACCCAGAAAGAAGGAGGAGAACAGGGCAGGTAAATGACTGCCTGAGAGGATGGTGTCTGGGTCAAGGCTTTGGGTATTTTGATCTTGGGCAGGCCTCTGAGAAGCCGGGTATGTGTGCTGCTGGTGGACTCCGGCTCAGCAAATGGGGCACAAGTGTATTGGGGAGCAAGCTCTCTGGACTGATTACCAGGGCTTTAAACTAGGTATGATGAGGGAAGGGAGGGGAGTTAGAAGTGACAGAGGAGGGCTGGGGGATGTTGTCACTGCTGACTATGATGAAGATAGTATGGAAAAACCTCTGAATGGTCCCATAGGATCATCTGAGGGCTCCTCAGGGAAGGTAATGATCCTGATACCCCATCCTCCATTTTTCCATGACAGCAATTAGATTATTGTTTTCTAATTGCACTGTGGCTTCTGACTCCTCCTGCTTCTTTTCCATGCTGCATGCATTGGTGTAAAGGCACTTCAGCTGGGCAAAGGCCATGTCACCTTTTTAGAGGAGTCCTTCCTAACTCCTATGGGAGGATTCACAGGTGTTTCCCTGCTGTTTTCTAAAGTATTGGTATTAAGGGGTTCTATTTTTTTTTTTCCACTTAAAAGTGCATCCTCTTCCCCCACCAAGTCCAGTTTAAAGCCCTGCTAATGAGTCCAGCCAGCTTGCTGTCCAAAATGCTCTTGCCCCACTTGTTCAGGTGCACCCCATCCCATGTCAGAATGTCCAGTCTCTCAAAAGCACATCTGAGATCATAGGACAAGAAACCCTGAACACTGCACCAGCTGTCCAGCCAATCATTCACCTGATGCATACTCCACCTCCTCCTTGGGTCCCAGTCTCTGACTGGAAGGGATGAGGAGAACACTACTTGTACTCCTGATCCTTTCAGCACCTTTCCAAGGGACATAGACCCTTTCGGTATTTCCAAGTCTCCTTGGTGAGGCCTCAGTTGTTCCTACATGAAAGAGCAGGAATTGGTGATAATCCTCCAGCTTGACCAGTCTTGGTAGTCTCCTTGTGATGTCACAAATGTGGGCCCCAGGCTTGCAGCAAAACTTTGAGAGATTTTCTGGGCCGAAAATGGGAGCCTCAGTGCCTCTCAGACAGGGATTGCCAATTAACAACACCATCTGTGCTTATTTATTTATTTATTTATTTATTTACTTATTTTTGGTGGCATTGGTTCTTACACAGTTGCCCTTTCCTGGGTATTGACCATTACCATTGTTGTTATTGACATGGTCTCCTTTTTATAAGCCCCAGAGCATTGTATCTGTTACACAGGGACACTTCAGGGGCAAGGGGGAGATTCCTCAGTCTGCTCCAAGAAGAGATGAAGGTCCAGCCTCCCTTGTCTTGTGAGTCCATCAATTCTTCTGGATTTGGGTTGGAAGACATCTTACCACCTCCTGGCAAGGGCTTAAGGCAAAGCTTTTGCTCAGCCTGCAACAGCACATGATACCATGCATTGATCCCTCACTCAGATTCCTGGATGCATCACAACCTTCTGAGCTCCTGCTGCAACCTAGCAGCTTGCTCAGAGAGTTCATCTGTCTGGTCACACTTGTACCCATGACACCCAGCTCTGCCTTTAGTCCCTATCAGGAACTCCATATATTGGAGCTATCTTCGAGATAGCCCTGAAACAGGTGGTCTGGGCAGCCCTTTCAGTCCCTGGGAGGTCTGTCTGGGTAGAGGCCCCTCCATCTGGGTTTTGGTCTCAGCCCAGCATTTTTGCCTCACTAGAAACTTCATGTTGCTTCTAGACTAGAGTGGTCTTGGGAATCTGGAGAGGCCCCAGTAGATTGGAAGCTGGCAAATGTTGTGCCAATTTTAAAGAAGGGCAAGAAAGAAGACCCTAGCAATTACAGGCCTGTCAGTCTCACATCAGCACCTGGTAAAATTATGGAGAAGATAATCCTTGAAGTTATTGAAGTGCACGTAGGGGACAATGCCATCATTGGTCCCAGCCAACATGGGTTTATGAGGGATAGGTCCTGCCTAACAAATTTGATTTCCTTTTATGATAAGATCACCCATCTAGTTGACGAAGGGAAATGGGGCCACATCTGGCTGGCAGATGGTCACTAGTGGGTTCCCCCAGGGCTCAATTTTAGGGCCAGCCCTCTTCAATGTTTTTATAAATGATTTGGATGTAGGACTAGAGGGTGTTTTGAGCAAATTTGCCAACGACACCAAACTTGGAGGAGTTGTGGACTCTGATGAGGCTGGAAAGGCCTTGCAGAGAGATCTGGACAGATTGGAGAGCTGGGCGATCACCAACCACATGAAGTTTAACAAAGGCAAGTGCCGGGTCCTGCACCTGGGACGGGGAAACCCTGGCTATATGTACAGACTGGGCAACGAGATGCTGGAGAGCAGCCCTGCAGAGAGGGATCTGGGGGTTGTGGTTGACAGCAAGTTGAATATGAGCCAGCAGTGTGCCCTGGCAGCCAGGAGGGCCAACCGTATCCTGGGGTGCATCAAGCATGGCATCGTTAGTCGGTCAAGGGAGGGGATTGTCCCACTCTACTCTGCACTGGTGCAGCCTCACCTTGAGTACTGTGTGAAGTTCTGGGCACCACAGTACAAAAAGGATATAAAACTGTTGGAGAGTATCCAGAGAAGGGCAATAAAGAAGGTGAAGGGCCTAGAGAGGAAGATGTATGAGGAGCGGCTGAGGTCACTTGGCCTGTTCAGCTTGGAAAAGATGAGGCTGAGGGGAGACCTCATCGCAGTCCAAAGCTTCCTCACTAGGGGGAGTAGACGGGCAGGCACCAACCTATTCTCCTTAATTACCAGTGATAGGAATGGTGTCAAGCTGCGTCAGGGAAGGTTTAGGCTAGACATCACGAAAAGGTTCTTCACTGAGAGGGTGGTTGCACACTGGAACAGGCTCCCCAGTGATGTAGTCACTACACCAAGCTTGTCGGTGTTTAAGAAGTTTTTGGACTGTGCGCTTAGTCACATGGTCTAAAATTTTGGGTAGACCTGTGTGGTGGCAGGAGCTGGACTACATGATCCTTATGGGTCCCTTCCAACTTGGGATGTTCTATGATTCTATGATTCTTATCTGAAACCTTGAGCAATTTGTGTTGTATTTTCTCCCCCTTCCTCTTTGAGGAGGGAGAGTGAGAGAGTGGCCATTGTGGAACTTGGCTGCCCACCCGAGTAAAACCACCATAGTACTGTTTTTCAATTTCATGAAGATGGTTGGATTTGTAATGCTCCCAAGGTGGTCTCCGGCCATGTTGACTTTACCTTCTGCTGGGAACCAGATTTGACCAAAAGTAATCAACCTCCAGTATTCTGGCATATGGCATCCTCAATAGATGATATATTAGCAGCACATTGGCTCTGGTATCCTAGGAGTAGAGGCCCTCACTAGAGAGGAAGGGAAAGACATTTTCATTCTGCTGGAGGCTTCTTGGAAAACTGCACCAGGGAGACTTAGAGTGAGCGTAGCAAAATAACAGCATTCTTGAGGATGCACCCCAATGTCCTCCAGTTTTCCCTGGCTTTCCTCCCACTTCTCAGTCTGTTGAATGCTGTAGGAAAGTATACACTAGTCTCTCCCATCTCCTACCCTTGGGTGAGATACTATCCGCCCCTGTTAAGTTTGCTATAAAAGTCAGGCTATTCGGGTAATAAAAGGAGATCACGATCTGGCCATACTGGTGTCTGTCATGTTTTTAGCCATTCTTCCTGCAACAAGTTAAGTCAGTCATCACTCACTAGAAAGCGAAGCACATCCAAACACTGTAAATCCTCCAGCATGTAAAGACTGCATACAAAAATATGGTGGATAGGACTGCCTCCTATGCTCTTTTTAAGTGAACATTGAATTATTTAGTGCAAAGCTTCAATAGGAGAAATTACAAATGCCCCAAATATTTAGCTGTGAGTAAAATTTCATCTTGGACCATTTAGATACTTAGGAATGACTGACTAATCCTTGTTAACTTTTGAAGCATTTGGAACAAAATAGGAACTTTCAGAATGCAATGTCCACACCTCTAGAGCAAACTTGGATGACAAGTCAGGTAAACTGCCTTCAGGACATGCCACTGTTTCTCAACTGGTTTGAAAGCGGCCTTATGTGACTAGTGCAAATTTAAGTACAGAGGTGAAGTTTGTTCTTGTGAAGTGTGTTTCAAGCTCACTAGAAAGCTTTCTTGCTCCAGAACAGTGATCTGCTTTTGTACAAATACATCTCTTGGATATTCACTTTCATTTTGATTGACAGATGTGGGAAAACCATAGAGCCAGAAGGATGCAATACAAAAGGCATATTCTTTCACCTCATTCCCTGAGGAGACATTTCACTCTTCTGCATAAGTGTTCACTATAACTGAAGTTCTTTCATGCTTGTGTCTCACACACAAGCAATCAGTCCTCCAAGGCGTCTTCTGATTGACTCAGTGCAGGGTTACCAGGCTGTGCCAAGTGTTTCTTATATGAATTACCTGTCTTGTTTTGATTGATAAGCACATCTTCAGGATTGTTTGACAGGACATCAGTTTGATCTCAGGATCTGTTACCATCATCAAAATACTACACTAAACTTAGTGGCTCAAGGTCAGTCTTTGCAGAAGCAGAACCTGTTGAGAAGATGGGAATTAATTTCCCTTCCTGCATGCTGTCATCAGCAATGGTAAAAGCATGCAGAATTGTTTTCTTATGGACATTGTAAAATGACAGCTGCTTGGTGGAGATGTCCAGGAAGATCCCAATCTTTTGCAGTGTCCCAGTCACAGCCAGATGGGTCCAAGGATCCATGTAAGCCCAATACTCTTGCCCATCTACTAATCCTATGACCCAGAAACCATTATTAGGAGACAAAGCCACTGTCCCCTTGCGAGTCACAGATTCCTGGGCAACACCCAAGATCCAGTTTCTTCTCTTTCCAACATTTACTTCCCAGTAGAATCTCCCAGATGTGTACCCTTCCTTTGCCAACACAAAAAGGTGGGAATCAATTCTCTTCTCCCTCATGGGCACCTTTCTGATCATGCCAGCATCCTTCACACTTTTCCCATCTTCTGACACTTCCAGTCTGGGATGAGCCGTGTCAGCATCCAGGGAGATATCAACTGCAATGATCAAGTCATACAATAAGTAGCTGAAAACACAAGGCCTGTTTTTCTGAGACTTTATTTTCTGCATCCTCACCCATCTCTTACTTATCCCTTCTCCATCTCTACACTCAGGTGTGCTAGACAGGCTTTTGCCTCAGGGTGCCTGTGTTATCTTCACTCCCCTACCTCACGTATGCCTCCATTCCCATCCTTGGTTCCCTGACAAAGACCAGACAGTGTGCCTGAAATGAAAGGCACTGAACCAAGGTTTCTCTGGCACCAGCTTTCAGCACCAAGGAGAAGTGTGTAGGGCTGAATACCTGCTTCCTCTATTTTTGAATTTCTGTAGGGATGACCTTGGGAAAAGGACTGAGAATTGACCATATGACTTCTCTTTGGGCAACACTGGAATCAAAACTGACTTTTATAAGAGCACTGATATGCAATCCTACTGGCCAAAGAAGTCATTTTATGAAGCAGTTGGTGAAGTGGGTTTACGTGACAAGGTTTTGGTAGCAGGGAGCTGCAGGGGTGGCTTCTGTGAGAAGAATCCAGAAGATGCCCCATGTTAGATAAGGTCTAGTTTCAGCCAGCTCCAAAGGGACCTACTGCTGCCCAGGGTCGAGACAATAAACAATGTTGTTAGTGCCTCTGTGAGAGCAGACACCAAGGTTAGTGCAGCAGGAGGGCAGGAGGTGCTCCAGGCATGCAGCAGAAATTCCCCTGCAGCCTGTGGAGAGGCCCCTGGTGGAGCAGGCTGTTCCCCTGCAGCCCATGGGTCCCACATGGAGCAGATCACGCTGCAGCCCATGGAGGAGACCATGGTGGAGCAGGTGGATCTGCCCTGAAGGAGTCTGTGGCCTGTAGAGAGTCCCTGCCAGAGCAGACTCTAGGCCAGAGCTGCAGCCCATGGAGAGGAGTGGAGAGGAGCCCATTCAGGACCAGAGCTGAGGGTGAGCTGTCACCTGTGGGGGACACATGTTGGAGCAGCTTGCTCCTGATGGATGGACCCTGTGATATGGTTCCATATTGGAGCAGTTCTTGAAGAGCTGATACCTATGGAAAGCCTGCATAGGATCAATTTGGGAAGGATGGCAGGGAGGATCAGTTTTGGGAGGGACCCCACATTGGAGAAGGGGAAGAGAGTGACCAAGAAGGAGCAGTGGAGAAGAAGTGCAATAGACTGACTGCAACCACCATTTCCCTGTTCCCCTGTGCTGCTCAGGGGGAGGAGGTGGAAGAGGGTGGATGGGGGAAGGTGTTTCTGTTTTTTTTCTTTGTTTCTCACTTCTATAGTTTGTTAGCAATAGGCGATAAATCTTACTGTCTCCCTACTCTGAGTCTCTTTTGCCTGTCACAATAATTGTTGGTCAATCTCCTCATACTTATCGCAACCCTTGAGATCTTTGTGTTGTATTTTCTCCCCCTTTCCGTTTGAGAAGGGGGAGTGAAAGGGCAGTTGTGGTGGAGCTCGGCTGCCCGCCTGAGTAAAGCTACCACAGTTAGTAAGATAATTGATCAACCCTGCACACAACAGAAACACACCTGGAAATCAGTGTAGACACTCACTGTTCTGCAAGAAACGCTAAGATATAGATCCAAAGTGTCCTGTAGGTGTGTTTAAACATTCATGTGTGGGAAGAGAGACTATTAGCAATCATGGTGGAAGAAATTCAAGTGTCGCCTGTGTTGAATACAAGTATAAATCATGCATAAATTTATATACATCATCTGGAATTTGGTTTGTGTCTCATGATTATCTCCTTAGTAAAGCCTGGAGGCTCTGTTTTCAAACCTTGCATAGTTTCTTCTCAAGAAAAGGAAAGCACCAGTCTTGGGTATTTTTTCAACATGGACTAGAATGGAAGAGTGATCTTAACTGCAGGAATGGTAAGACGATATTTCTTTCCACAGTTTACCCAGCTTATCAGTGTACATGATAATAACTGGACAGAACTCTAGCAAGGTAAAATGGTGTGAACTAAGCTCAGCTAGCTCAACTCAGATTTCAGGAATATGAAAGAGATCTTGTGGAGCAAGATCATCTCTTGACACTTCTAAACTCCGAAGTGCACAAAAAGAGGAGTGGGAGATGGAAGTAGCCAATACAGGCTTTCCATCCCCACTTCCCACAGCTAAAATGGCTCGAGTCAATCATGCACAGGGACTTTGGCAGAACACAACCAAAAAAAGTTATCAAGCAATCCTTCCTCTGAGCATGTTGTTCTCCAAACAGCTCTGTGAGAGGGTTGGATGTGTTTCCTGAAGTTGGGTTCAGGCTCAGAAAATGTAGGTTCATCATCTCTGTTATGCTTACCTTTGTAGATCTGAATTATGAAAAATTCTGTGGAGAAAAAGAATATAGCAGGCAGTAAGTGGATTTATCAAAGTATGCCGGTCTACAGGGTGATAAGACACCATCCATGCTGCTGAATACAAAGACTGTTTTCTCCTGTAGTATATCCAAAGGTATTTCACCAATTATCTGCCTTAGGTGACAGCAAGTCCCACCATCCCTGCCATAAACACACACATTTATCTTACCAAATTCCATCCTCAGTTGGGAAAAACAAACAAACAGAAAAACAACCAAAGAAACAAACAAACAAAAAAGAGGACTAAAAGCTGGGGAGACATAGGATGAGATTCTCATTCCTTTTCAGCTGTAAAGAAAAGGTCAAAGAACTGGGCAAACAACTGACCAAAAACATCACCTTTCGCAGGGACAAACTTCCCAGGAAGGTAGTACTTATCCCTAGAAATGTCAGGCACTCAAGCACTCACACTCCAATCACTCCTGCACTTGGTCCTACAAGCATACAGAGGTGTCTTAGTCATTTCTGGACAGGAACAAAAATGCTACATCAACACCTGCAATATTCTTGTATGGGCCACTCTTTGTCATCATTCTCTGCCAGGGAGAAGGAAGAGGATGCCCACAATGCTGGGAGGGGAAACAGCCATGAAGAAAGACCCAAAGTGTGCTCCATACATTATAAAAAAATGCTTAGCAATAAAAGCTGAGATAAAGTAGGAGGAAGAGGAGACATTCATAGATATGGCATTGGTCTTCGCAAGGAAATGTTGTGTGTGACAGAGGTATGCTTTCCTGGGAATGGCTGATCATCTACCTGCCTATCAGAAGTAGTGAATGACTTCAATTTTTTGCTTTAGTGGGCTTGCAGCTTTTGCTTTACCTCTTAAATGTCTCTATCTCAATCCAAGGGTTTACACACTTTGACCTCTCCACTTCTCTCCCCATCCAGCTGGAGGAAAGGGTGTGAGCGGCCGTGTAGTGTTTAGCTGCCCATGGATGTTTAACCCCAAGAGGGATGGAGTCATCCTTGTGGGCAGCCCTGCTCACCTAGTTTGCTTTCCAATGAAATCAGCTCTTCTCTGTAGACATTCTGTGAAACTTCCAGTTGGTTCTGGAATTCAGTCAGCTTCTCACTCAGGATCTTCTCTGCCTTTTGCTGAGTGGATTCAAGGGCCCTTGTGATGTCTATGTCCACAATGTCCACAATATTTTCTGCATGGAAAGAGAGGAACCAATGGGAAAATGACATTGATTCCTGGGAAGTGGTTCCTTGTCTTTATAATGGGGGAGGGTGTTTCCTCCTAGAAATATTAGAGAACATGCTATTGTGATTTCAGTTTCACGGTGGACTTATCTCTAGAGTACATTGTACGTCAGAAGGTGTCATTCTTGAGATTTTTTTTTTTTTTTTTTTTTTTTTTTACAGGAAAGGGACACTGTGGATGGCAAGATGATGTTGGGAAGAGGGAATGCACACAAGGCAGGAGTGAGCATGCCTGAGCTCCTGGAAGTGAAGTAGGGCTTACTGAAGGTCTGGACTGCAGTTCCCACCCTTTAGATCTTCACCTAGGGCTTACAGACTCTCACGGTCATTGCCCCCTGTAAGTGACTCTTTCCCCATGGTGCATGGTACACGGGCTCTGGATGGAAGGGGACGGAACTGAGAAGATGCTTCCACCTCCCTCTCATTGGTTTGGATAGACCAAAGCGTTCCAGGGGGATGGAGAAGGAGCATAGGCTCCATGGTCCTGCCTGAAGTCCTGCTGGACAGGCTGGAGAGTAGGCATGTCTCACTCCATCTCTCCAGGCAGGATCTGCAGGCTGCGGAAGACTTGACTGTTTGGGGACGAGCACTCTGAGTGACAAAAGGGAGAGACGGTATCGGGACGTGGAGGTGGATGTTCCTTGGGACCTAGCAGTAACCTTTTCCACATTCAGCCATCATGGATGGAGACTATCAAACCAAATGTCTTCCAAGAGGAGGGAGAGAAGAAACACCCTTACCACCTGCAGCTGCCACTTTGGTGTGGAGCTCTCTCGGGGGAAAGGGACACGAGACCCTCTCCCCGGGAATGGGCTGCCCTCCTCTTGCAGGAGTCCCCTTCCATGTCCCCTTCCATGGAGGAGATGCCGGAGACTAGCTCACAAGATGGTGTCATGCTATAGCACTGTTTGCCTTCAAGGAATCGTCCTGCTTTTGGCCAGGATGGAGTCAATTTTTTTTTTTTTTTTTTTTTTTTTTTCAGCTGGTATGATGCTGCATTTTGGATTTGTGAGGATAGTCATGTAGACAACCTGTGGATGCCTTATTTATTCTGAGGAGTGCTTCCACACAGCCACAGGCCCCTCTTCTTGTCATCACGCTCTGCCAGTGAGGAGGTAGGGGATGCCCACAATGTCGGAAACAGCCATGTTGATGACCCCTATTGTTCCCTTCATTATAACACCATGCTAAGTAATAGAAGCTTAAATAAAGGAGGAAGGGGAGACATTCATAGTGATGGCATTGATCTTCCCCAGGAGATGTTTTGTGTGACGGATCTATGCTTTCGTTGAAAAGGCTGAACCTCTGCCTGCCAATCAGAAGCAGTGAATGACTTCCATATTTTTACAGAATTACATAATCACAGAATGCTAGGGATTGGAAGGGACCCTGAAAGGTCATCTAGTCCAATCCACCTGCAGGAGCAGGAACACCTGCATCAGGTTCCACAGGAACCCATCCATGCGAGTTTTGAATGTCTCCAGAGAAGGAGACTGCACAACTCCGTTGGGAAGCCTGTTCCAGTGTTTTGTCACCCTCACTGTGAAAAAGTTTCATTTCATATATAAGAGGAACCTCTTTTGTTCCAGATTGCACCCATTGCCCCTTGTCCTATCATTGGATGTCACCGAGAACAGCCTGGCTCCATCCTCCTGACACTTCCCCCTTGCATATTTATAAACATTAATAAGGTCTCCCCTCAGCCTCCTCTTTTCCAAGCTAAAGAGACCCATCTCCCTCAGCCTTTCCTCATAATGAAATCATCCCTTAATGGCTCTGCACGAGACTCTCTCAAGCAGTTCCCTGTCGTTCTTGAGCTGTGGGGCCCAGAACTGGATGCCATTGTCCAGATGTGGTCTCACAAGGGCAGAGTAGACTGGGAGGAGAACATCCCTCAGCCTACTAACCACAGCCCTTCTGATACACCCCAGGATGCCACTGGACTTCTTGGCCACAACGGCACAGTGCTGCCTCATGGTCATTCCGCTGTCCACCAGGACCACCACATCCCTTTTCCATATGTTGCTCTTCAACAGGTCAGTCCCCAGCCTATACTGGTGCCTATACCAGTGCCATTTGGCTTTGCTTGGGCTTGCAGCTTTTGCTTTACTCTTAAATGTCTCTATCTCAGTCCAAGGGTTTACACACTTTGACCTCTCCACTTCTCTCCCCCATCCAGCTGGAGGAAAGGGTGTGAGTGGCTGTGTAGTGTTTAGCTGCCCATGGATGTTTAACCCCAAGAGGGATGGAGTCATCCTTGTGGACAACCCTGCTCACCTAGTTTGTTTTCCAATAAAATCAGCTCTTCTCTGTAGACATTCTGTGAAACTTCCAGTTGGTTCTGCAACACAGCCACCTTCTCACTCAGGATCTTCTCTGCCTTTTGCTGAGTGGATTCAAGGGCCCTTGTGGTGTTTATGTCCACAATGTCCACAATATTTTCTGCATGGAAAGAGAGGAACCAATGGGAAAATGACATTGATTCCTGGGAAGTGGTTCCATGTCTTTATAATGGGGGAGGGTGTTTCCTCCTAGAAATATTAGAGAACATGCTATTGTGATTTCAGTTTCACGGTGGACTTATCTCTAGAGTACATTGTACGTCAGAAGGTGTCATTCTTGAGATTTTTTTTTTTTTTTTTTTTTTTTTTACAGGAAAGGGACACTGTGGATGGCAAGATGATGTTGGGAAGAGGGAATGCACACAAGGCAGGAGTGAGCATGCCTGAGCTCCTGGAAGTGAAGTAGGGCTTACTGAAGGTCTGGACTGCAGTTCCCACCCTTTAGATCTTCACCTAGGGCTTACAGACTCTCACGGTCATTGCCCCCTGTAAGTGACTCTTTCCCCATGGTGCATGGTACACGGGCTCTGGATGGAAGGGGACGGAACTGAGAAGATGCTTCCACCTCCCTCTCATTGGTTTGGATAGACCAAAGCGTTCCAGGGGGATGGAGAAGGAGCATAGGCTCCATGGTCCTGCCTGAAGTCCTGCTGGACAGGCTGGAGAGTAGGCATGTCTCACTCCATCTCTCCAGGCAGGATCTGCAGGCTGCGGAAGACTTGACTGTTTGGGGACGAGCACTCTGAGTGACAAAAGGGAGAGACGGTATCGGGACGTGGAGGTGGATGTTCCTTGGGACCTAGCAGTAACCTTTTCCACATTCAGCCATCATGGATGGAGACTATCAAACCAAATGTCTTCCAAGAGGAGGGAGAGAAGAAACACCCTTACCACCTGCAGCTGCCACTTTGGTGTGGAGCTCTCTCAGGGGAAAGGGACACGAGACCCTCTCCCCGGGAATGGGCTGCCCTCCTCTTGCAGGAGTCCCCTTCCATGTCCCCTTCCATGGAGGAGATGCCGGAGACTAGCTCACAAGATGGTGTCATGCTATAGCACTGTTTGCCTTCAAGGAATCGTCCTGCTTTTGGCCAGGATGGAGTCAATTTTTTTTTTTTTGTTTTGTTTTTTTTTTGAGCTGGTATGATGCTGCATTTTGGATTTGTGAGGATAGTCATGTAGACAACCTGTGGATGCCTTATTTATTCTGAGGAGTGCTTCCACACAGCCACAGGCCCCTCTTCTTGTCATCACGCTCTGCCAGTGAGGAGGTAGGGGATGCCCACAATGTCGGAAACAGCCATGTTGATGACCCCTATTGTTCCCTTCATTATAACACCATGCTAAGTAATAGAAGCTTAAATAAAGGAGGAAGGGGAGACATTCATAGTGATGGCATTGATCTTCCCCAGGAGATGTTATGTGTGACGGATCTATGCTTTCGTTGAAAAGGCTGAACCTCTGCCTGCCAATCAGAAGCAGTGAATGACTTCCATATTTTTACAGAATTACATAATCACAGAATGCTAGGGATTGGAAGGGACCCTGAAAGGTCATCTAGTCCAATCCACCTGCAGGAGCAGGAACACCTGCATCAGGTTCCACAGGAACCCATCCATGCGAGTTTTGAATGTCTCCAGAGAAGGAGACTGCACAACTCCGTTGGGAAGCCTGTTCCAGTGTTTTGTTACCCTCACTGTGAAAAAGTTTCATTTCATATATAAGAGGAACCTCTTTTGTTCCAGATTGCACCCATTGCCCCTTGTCCTATCATTGGATGTCACCGAGAACAGCCTGGCTCCATCCTCCTGACACTTCCCCCTTGCATATTTATAAACATTAATAAGGTCTCCCCTCAGCCTCCTCTTTTCCAAGCTAAAGAGACCCATCTCCCTCAGCCTTTCCTCATAATGAAATCATCCCTTAATGGCTCTGCACGAGACTCTCTCAAGCAGTTCCCTGTCGTTCTTGAGCTGTGGGGCCCAGAACTGGATGCCATTGTCCAGATGTGGTCTCACAAGGGCAGAGTAGACTGGGAGGAGAACATCCCTCAGCCTACTAACCACAGCCCTTCTGATACACCCCAGGATGCCACTGGACTTCTTGGCCACAACGGCACAGTGCTGCCTCATGGTCATTCCGCTGTCCACCAGGACCACCACATCCCTTTTCCATATGTTGCTCTTCAACAGGTCAGTCCCCAGCCTATACTGGTGCCTATACCAGTGCCATTTGGCTTTGCTTGGGCTTGCAGCTTTTGCTTTACTTCTTAAATGTCTCTATCTCAGTCCAAGGGTTTACACACTTTGACCTCTCCACTTCTCTCCCCCATCCAGCTGGAGGAAAGGGTGTGAGTGGCTGTGTAGTGTTTAGCTGCCCATGGATGTTTAACCCCAAGAGGGATGGAGTCATCCTTGTGGACAACCCTGCTCACCTAGTTTGCTTTCCAATGAAATCAGCTCTTCTCTGTAGACATTCTGTGAAACTTCCAGTTGGTTCTGGAATTCAGTCAGCTTCTCACTCAGGATCTTCTCTGCCTTTTGCTGAGTGGATTCAAGGGCCCTTGTGATGTTTATGTCCACAATGTCCACAATATTTTCTGCATGGAAAGAGAGGAACCAATGGGAAAATGACATTGATTCCTGGGAAGTGGTTCCATGTCTTTATAATGGGGGAGGGTGTTTCCTCCTAGAAATATTAGAGAACATGCTATTGTGATTTCAGTTTCACGGTGGACTTATCTCTAGAGTACATTGTACGTCAGAAGGTGTCATTCTTGAGATTTTTTTTTTTTTTTTTTTTTTTTTTTACAGGAAAGGGACACTGTGGATGGCAAGATGATGTTGGGAAGAGGGAATGCACACAAGGCAGGAGTGAGCATGCCTGAGCTCCTGGAAGTGAAGTAGGGCTTACTGAAGGTCTGGACTGCAGTTCCCACCCTTTAGATCTTCACCTAGGGCTTACAGACTCTCACGGTCATTGCCCCCTGTAAGTGACTCTTTCCCCATGGTGCATGGTACACGGGCTCTGGATGGAAGGGGACGGAACTGAGAAGATGCTTCCACCTCCCTCTCATTGGTTTGGATAGACCAAAGCGTTCCAGGGGGATGGAGAAGGAGCATAGGCTCCATGGTCCTGCCTGAAGTCCTGCTGGACAGGCTGGAGAGTAGGCATGTCTCACTCCATCTCTCCAGGCAGGATCTGCAGGCTGCGGAAGACTTGACTGTTTGGGGACGAGCACTCTGAGTGACAAAAGGGAGAGACGGTATCGGGACGTGGAGGTGGATGTTCCTTGGGACCTAGCAGTAACCTTTTCCACATTCAGCCATCATGGATGGAGACTATCAAACCAAATGTCTTCCAAGAGGAGGGAGAGAAGAAACACCCTTACCACCTGCAGCTGCCACTTTGGTGTGGAGCTCTCTCAGGGGAAAGGGACACGAGACCCTCTCCCCGGGAATGGGCTGCCCTCCTCTTGCAGGAGTCCCCTTCCATGTCCCCTTCCATGGAGGAGATGCCGGAGACTAGCTCACAAGATGGTGTCATGCTATAGCACTCTTTGTCTTCAAGGAATTTTCCAATTGTCCTGCTTTTGGCCAGGATGGCGTCTTTTTTTTTTTTTTCTTTTTTTTTTCATTGGAGCTGGTATGATGCTGCATTTTGTATTTGTGAGGATAGTCATGTAGATAACCTGTGGATGCCTTATTTATTCTGAGGAGTGCTTCCACACAGCCACAGGCCCCTCTTCTTGTCATCACGCTCTGCCAGTGAGGAGGTAGGGGATGCCCATGATATTGGAAGGGAGAACATCTGTGACGCCAACCTGAGTGGTCTAAAGGGATACTCTCTACAGTATGACACTATGCTCAGCAATAAATCTGAGATAAAAAGGAGGAAAGGGAGATATTCATATGATAGCATTGGTCTTCCCCAGGAAATGTTACCTGTGACACAGCCCTGCTTTCCCAGAAATGGTTGAACCTCTTCCTGCCTTTCAGAATCAATGAATAAATCCCACATTTTGCTTTGCTTGGGATTGCTTGGGCTTGCAGCTTTTACCTCTTAAAATCTCTCTATCTCAATCCGTGAGTTCTCTGACTTTGAGCTTTCCACATCACTCCTCCATCCAATTGGAGGAAAGTGATTGAGAGAATTTGCAGTATTTAGCTTCCCACTGTGGTTTAAGCACAATAGAATTGAAGGTTTGTTTAGGAATTGCACTGCTCACCTAGTTTGTTTTCCATCTCAATCAGGCAGTCCTTGGTCCAGGACTTCTTGGCTTTGGTTATTCTGTCTTCCATCTCTTCTCTGAGGATCTGAAGGTCTTGCTCTCTGGATACCTCCAGGTTCTTCAGACACACCTGCAGATTATGTAGCTTTTCTGAGATGGCCTGGAGGGAAGTCTGGGTGTTGGCCTGTTCCTCTAGAGGTGGGGCTATGTTCTGTGAAACCTCCAGTTGGTTCCGCAGCACAGCCATCTTCTGATCCATGATCCTCTCCATCTCTTGCCGTGAGGATTCTGGAGCCCTTGTGATGTCCATCTCCACATTCCTTCCTACAAAAAAAAAAAAAAAAAAAAAAGGCTGATTGGGAAACTGACATTTCTTCCTGTTATGTTAGCCCTTCTCTCAATAATGTGAATGTGTGTTTTGAGAAAAACACAGGATGGAAAACATATATGTACTTTTATTTTTGATGTGCCATAATGGACTGATGTCTACATAATTCTTTTGGAACAGTCTTTTTCTTTCAGTTCTATCCAGGGAATTCACACTTTTGAAGGCAAGATTGTATGGAGAGGACAGAATTCACAAAAGGTCTAGCTGGGCCCTACTTATCAAAAGAAGAGTAGCAGAGCTTGCCAAAGACTTTGCTTCAAGGTCTCTCTTTTTTAGGTATCTCTCTAAGGCTTTTAGTTACTCATGATAACTTCAGCCGTGAACTGTCCGTCTCCTAACGGTCATATAGGTTTTGGTTAGAAATTTACAGAGCACAGAAGATGCTTTCATCTCCCTTGCATTGGTTTGAATGGATTGACATCAGAATGACGGGGCCTAAAAGAATTCAGTCTTCCTCTCCCAAACAAAGCAATACACTCTGCTGTAGAAGGACACGCCAGACGTTAAAGAGGTGTGGCCCTAGGATCAAATTAATCTCATCCCAAAGCCTAAGCTTTCTGTTGTGGACTGGAAGATCTTCTGTGGGTAAGTTGCTCACAGGAATAGAGCCCCCATGGGTGCAGTTCTCTCTGCAGTCATCCATCCCACCCGGGATGTTCCCAAGGAAGACCGCGGGCAAGAGGAATGGGATCCGGCATACTTACTTGAAGGCTCAAAATCCATTCCAAGGTCTTGGACCGTCAAAGATGTTTCCTTGTGTCCTGGGCATTGTATTCATTTGAAAAGACAGAAAAGAGGAAATTTAGCAAAGACCTTTTCCCAAGGAAGTAGAAGAAATGATATGCACAGCTTTTGGGAAAGAACACATCACGTAGGCAGCGCAAAAAACATGGTGTCCTCTGAACCAAGGGCCTGATAGGAGCATTGTGGGTTTGCACGAATGTATCCTGCTGCGGAGCCCCACTCATGCTCTCAGGGCCATGAGGCTGTCTAAACTGCCCCAGAGCCCTTCTAAAATGCCTCACAGCCCAAGTGCAGCATCCCATGGTCTTTGCTGGGAAGGTTTCAGGGAGCACATTCTAACCCTTCCACTCCTCCCAAGCCACATAGGGATTGCTTTGCTTTCTCCTGTCTCCTCTCAGCAGGTAAAAGGCAACTGGACTTCATTATTTGTTGCCCTTCTCTGGACTCACTCCAGCACCTCCATGTCCTTCTTGTAGCGAGGGGCCCAAAACTGAACACGGTACTCGAGGTGCCCCCTCACCAGAGCCAAGTACAGGGGGAGAATCACTTCCGTAGTCCTGCTGGCCATACTGCTTCTTATACAAGCCAGGATGCTCTTGGCCTTCTTGGCCTCCTGAGCACACTGCTGGCTCATATTCATCTGTCTATCCACCAATACTCCCAGGTCCTTCTCTGCCTGGCAGCTTTCCAACCACTCGTCACCCAGCCTGTAGCTCTCCTTGGGGTTATCGTTCCCCAGGTGGAGGACCCGGCACTTGGCCTTGTTAAATTTCATACAGTTGTCCTCAGCCCATCAGTCCAGCCTATCCAGGTCCTCCTGCAGAGCCTTCCTACCTTCGAGCAGATTGACACACACACCTAACTTGGTGTCATCTTTGAACTTACTGAGAGTGCACTTGATACCCTCATCCAGATCATTGATCAAGATATTAAAGAGGACTGGCCCTAGCACTGAGCCCTGGGAAACTAGTGACCAGCCTCCAGCTGGATTTGACTCCATTCACCACATCTCTTTGGGCCCGGCTATCCAGTCAGTTCTTAACCCTATGAAGCATACACCAGTCCAAGCCACGAGCAGCCAGTTTCTTGAGGAGAATGCTGTGGGAGACGGTGTCAAAAGCCTTACTGAAGTCAAGGTAGACCACATCCACAGCCTTTCCCTCATCCACTAAGTGCATCACTTTGTCATAGAAGGAGATCAGGTTTGTCAAGCAGGACCTGCCTTTCATAAACCCATGGGGACTGGGCCTGATCACCTGGTTCCCCTGTAAGTACCGTGTGATGACACTCAAGAGAATCTGATCCATGAGTTTTCCTGGCACTGAGGTCAAACTGACAGGCCTATAGTCTCCTGGGTCTGCCCTCTGGCCCTTCTTATAGATGGGCGTCACGTTTGCTAGCCGCCAGTCAACTGGGACCTCCCCTGATAGCTAGGACTGCTGATAAATGATGGAAAATGGCTTGACCAGCTCCTCTGCCAGTTCTCTCAGTATCCTTGGTTGGATCCTTTCTGGCCCCATCGACTTGCACACATCCAAGTGCCGTAGCAGGTTGCCAACCGTTTCCTCATGGATAGTGAGGGCTACATTCTGCTCCCCATCCCCTTCCACCAGCTCAGGGTACTGGGTATCCAGAGAGCAACTGGTTTTGCTGCTAAAGACTGAGGAAAAGAAGGCATTAAGCACCACAGCCTTTTCCTCATCTTTTGTAACTAAGTTCCCCCCTGCATCCAGTAAAGGCTGGAGATTCTCTTTAGTCCTCCTTTTTGTGTTGATGTATTTGTAAAAACATTTTTTTGTTGTCTTTAACGGCAGTAGCCAGATTGAGCTCCAGATGAGCTTTGGCCTTCCTAATTTTGTCCCTGCACAGCCTCGCAACATCCTTATAGTCCTCCCTAGTGGCCTGCCCACTTTTCCAAAGATGATAAACCCTCTTTTTTCTCCTAAGCTCAAGCCACAATTCTCTGTTGAGCCAGGCTGGTCTTCTTCTGTGCTGGCTCGTCTTTGGGCACGTGGGGACAGACTGCTCCTGAGCCATTAAGATTTCTTTCTTGAAGAGTACCCAGTCTTTCTGGACTCCTGTGCCCTTCAGAACCACCTCCCAAGGGACTCTACCAACCAGTGTCCTGAAGTGCTCAAAGTCAGCCCTCCAGAAGTCCAAGACTGCAGTTTTACTGATCCCCTTCCTGACTTCACCAAGAATGGAGAACTCTACCATTTCGTGGTCACTCTGACCAATACAGTTCCCAACCATCACATCTCCTACCAGTCCTTCTCTGTTTATGAACAGGTCTAGCGGGGCACCTTCCCTGGTAGGCTCACTAACCAGCTGCGTCAGGAAGCTATCTTCCACGCTCTTCAGAACCCTCTTAGACTGCTTTCTCTGGGCTGTGTTGTGCTTCCAGGATATATCTGGGAAGTTGAAGTCCCCCACAAGAACAAGCACGGACGATTTCTCAACTTCTGCCAGCTGTCTGTAGAATTCCGTGTCCATCCTGGTTCGGCGGGGTCTATAACAGATCCCCACCAGGGTGCTTCCTTTGTTGGCCTTCTCGCTGATCTTAACCCATAGGGACTCAACCTTATCATTCCCAGCCTCAAGTTCCACGACATCAAAACTCTCTCTGATATAGAGAGCCACACCACCACCCCTTCCATGCTGCCTGTCCCTTCTGAAGAGCCTATAGCCAGACATTGCAGCCCTCCAGTCATGAGAGTGGTCCCACCACGTTTCCATGATGGCAACCAAGTCGTAGCCTGCCTACCTGCATCTTAGAGCACAGGAATGGGAATGGGGGGTTGGTCAGTTCATAGACTTTATTTCCATTGATTCTTTTTCCACACAGTGTTCCACTTCAGTGTGGGGTCCCTTGCAAACAATGCAGTCCTTCCAAAACTGCTCCACCATGAATCCTCTCCAAGGTCTTCAGCTTACATTATGTGGAACTGGCTGGAACCTGCTATGTCTTACACAAGGCAGAGACACTGGTCTCATTCTTCAGAGGCCACCCCTGCATCCACTGCCACCCCCAGCCCCACCAAAGCCTTCCCAAATAAAACCAATACATTATCCTACACAGTCAAAGGAGAAAGGTATCTGCCATTGGAGACAGAGCAACAAGCTAAGGAGGTGCTCTGAAGATCATTCTGACCAATCATTCTGAAGGGAGAAATAGGGATCTGTTTGTTACTGTGGAGGAGTCCTGCTCATGGCACACCTGATTGCTGTGCTCTGCTCTTCATCTCTCTCCTAGTCATCTTTCCTGTTGCTGTCTGCTTGTCACCTCTTTAGCTTTCTTTGGAAAGTGCAATGATGAAAACGAGAAGGATTTTGTCCAGGAGTTAGTGAATTACAGAAAGGACTGTTAGGTGTCAGCAGAGTCACTGCCTTGAACGTGCTAAAGGCATTGAGAAAGTGGAGGTGCTAACAGTGAGAAAAGATACATATATATGTTTGTGAAAGTGAATGTATTTGTGTGTGCCTTAGTGTCATGTCTGAGCTCTGAATTCCTGATGTGTACTTTGTGGTATCCATGCAACCTGCAGGGGACGCAGGAACTGTGGATTCTGTGAGACATTTCCTAAAATACACCACTTCTTTGTCATAACATCCATTTGCTACACAGTAAAGGCAGCATTGTACTCCACCCAGTTACAGCATCAAATGGGAAGGCAAATTTTAAAGAAAGCCAGTGCCAGAGGACAGTACAGTCCCACAGGATGCAATTGCAGAAGCTTCCTTGATATAAAGAACAAGTGATGGAAATGTACAATGTATGCATATGAGCAAACACATAAGACACAAGGCAGCAGCCCACAAGTGTGGTTTTATCAAAGGGCGGAAGAGGAACCCTGAAGAGGAGCCCCCAGAGTCCTACTGTGCCTACTTCAAGCTGATCTACATCCCTCACTGTACGCCTTTGGCTGAGCTGACTAGCTCTCCTCTAAAATGCAAGCTAAACTGAACAGCACACATGTAGATCACCACAGCCTTGGCTGCTGAAATGCTTGTCTACCGTTTATACTAGTATTGGTGTTTGAAGTGGGAATGCGTTCCTTGGAAGGGAATCCTATTCTGGGTTGTGTAACACCACTAGCTTAACTATCTGGATTTCTGGTGTCTGGGAGATGTTGGTGATGCCCTTCATCATCTGTCCCTGCTCTTCTCCAGCAGTTGCCGCTTGAGGGCCCGGGTCTCACTAAGTACTGACTCAGACCTGCCAAGCCCATAAGGAAGTCTCCAGTAACCAAGGGGATCCCAAAAGATGCCAGACAGCCAGGTAGAGATGTGAACTGCACCCTATAGGTGAGGTAGTGGCTCTGCTTGCTTGAGCATATAAACTTCTGCATGTTGTCCCAGGAAGGACACCCTGTGCATCTATGAACTCCAAGTGATTCAGCCCCTGTGGAAGGGTGCTCAGTCCTAGCAGTGAATCTTTAAGTCCCAGGCCTGGAGACATACGTCCTCCTCTCTCAGGGAAATAAATGCCCAAAGTTACCATGCTGGGAAAGAGCACCACAGAGGAAAGATGCTTCCCATCTCAGTACTTCTGAGAGCAACAGAAATTACCACAAACAGCTGAGAAAAAGACCTGAAAGGAACTTTATGGAAACACAGTTTTAAGCGCAGTATTCCTTCTTCAGCAACCAGAGCACCCACCCTGAGCAAGTGAAACTTTTCTACCAGCTGAACTGGCACTTGGAGGGAGAAATCCCTTGTGAGAAATGGAGCAAAGAATTGTTCTCCTCATTGATTTTGCAGATAAGACTTGCCATATCTTACTTTTTCTCATGGCTAAACAACTTATGATAGCAACTGTGTGTACTTCTGGTTGTCTTTTTTTTCACCCCAGAACAATACATTTCTCAAACCTGAATTTCAAAATATCTTGAAATCGTATTGGTTGAAATATGTATTTATATATAATTACATACATATATAATATATATATTATATTAAAAATATCATGCTTTTATATGATTAACAAAAACTCTATTCCTTTAAGCTGCTTTCTTATTTGTTTATTTTCTTTTTGAAATAATGAAGGTAACCTAGAACACTATGCTTTCACAGATTTTTTCCTAGCAACAGTACAATAGAGAGATACATTCTTAAAGAATGACTGTAGATATATACAAAAATGTGTTAACGTACCTTCAGAGAAACCTCATCTCATCTGTGTCTCTTCTGAACTGACTGGCTTTCACTTGCAGTATGATGGCACAGTTACAGGCAGCCTTCAGTGCCCTTGGACTTTATACAGTTACAGGGAAGAGGGCTTTAAAAAAATGTTGCACTAGGCCTTTCACTAACAGGCAGAAGAGTTTTTATCACCCTTGGAAATCTCAACCTTGGATAAGATTTAGCATTGTGCCTTTCTTTAATGAATGCCTCCAAGTAATCTGAGGAAGAAAGGTTGAAGGACATACATGATGTGTGTGGTTGGAGTTATCTTCGATATGCCTCTGGTACAGATAACATATGAATGGATCCTACATGGTGAAGGCTGGTCCCTAGCAGAAAGACAGCTGTACTTTCAGGAATGGATTACCCTGCTGATTTCACAGTAGGAGACAACTTATTGTAAAGGAACCCCTTTGTTGTGCATTTTTAGGGATGATTCTGTAGGCCAGATCGAGCCATATCTGCCTTTTTCTATTGTTTACAGAACATTGTAGGACATTAAGTGGTGAATGGGACCTTTTAGATTCAGAATAAGTTGGGAATCAGGTTTAAGAAACATTGTCTTGCCCATGAAATAGTGATTTCTAGTAGTAGCATGCCAGCAACCATGTTCTAGAATTTTTCTCTAAATAACAGAATCAAAGAATCATATAATCATTAAGGTTGGAAATGACTTCCAAGATCATCTGGTCCAACCAGCCCCTATCACCAATATCACCCACTAAACCATGTCCCTAAGTACGATGTCCAACCTTTCCTTAAATTACCCTTAAGGACAGTGACTCCACCACATCCCTGGGCAACCTGTTCCAAAGCCTAACTACTCTTTCTGAGAAGAAGTGTCTCCTAATTTCCAACCTGAACCTCCTCTGGTACAACTTGAGGCCATACCTTCTTGTCCTATCACTAGCACTCCAAGAAGTTTGTCCTCCTCTGACACTGACAAGAGTTCCCACTAGTAAGGTTTTATAGCCCTACCTGAAATCTACTTTATTGCCATATATTGCCATATATTGCCATATATATTGCCTCCTCTTGATAAGCTATTTAAAGTACAAAAGTCATTTTAAAGTCTTATCACAATTTCTTGGATTATTTTTTATGGCCTTTTCTTGTGAATTTTATGAAATATTAACTTGTGTTGTGGTTTAACCCAGCAGAGAGCTAAGTACCACACAACTGTTTGCTCACTCCCCCCCACTCCCCCCTCCCCCCAATAGTGAAACAGGGGAGAGAATCTGGAAAAAGAATTGCAAAACTCACAAGCTGAGATAAAGTTTAGGAGGAAACAATAAGGAGGAAAAAAAAAAATGAAAGAAAATAATACAGAAAACAAATGCTCAACCAGTTCCTAAGCATCAGTAGACCACTTGGAAAACTCCCCTAAGATTTTATTGTTCAACATGATGTTATGAAAAATTCTTTTGGTTACTTTGGATCATCTGTCTTGATTCTGTCCCCTTCATCTTCTTGTGCATCCTCAGACTCCTCATGGGCAGGGCAGTATGAAAAGCCAAGAATTCCTTGACTTAGTCTAAGTACTGCTCAGCAACAACTAAAAGAACACCATACCAGCTACTAAGAAGGAAATTAACTCTACCTAGACAGATTTGGTTTCATGAGTTCTACTTAGTGTCTCATTACTTCTGCATTCCTGGCTGTCATCTGTACCCTATGGGACAACTTCCTTCACTAGATCACTCTGCATGAGGCAGATAGCAGAATAATAGTAGTAAATAGTAAAGGGATTCTGATTGCATGCTGCTTCACAGAACAGGCTTTACAGGAAGCTAGTCTTTCAGGACTTTCACAGGCTGATGGGAAAGAGGAACATAGATGCCTGGTGAGGGAAACACATTTCTGGGTGTATGTAGTTTTATGAGGGTTAGAGTGCTAGTAGCAAAAAAATATTTATCTAAATGCACCTGAAGAATTGTTTTGTTTTAGGTGAGATTGGATTGCTTATTTGTTCTTTTCTTCTAGTTTGTGTTTCTAGGTGATATTTTGTGTGATTCATCTAGTCTCTATTCATTTGCTGCTTGCCTACTAGAACTTGTTGCATTTCAAACCCGTGGCCAAGGTTTTCTCTAAGGGATGTCAAACTGCTGGCAATTGCCTTGATCTGAGTTTTCAACACTGAAAGAGGATCATGGAATTGTGTTTTGAGATGTTGGTGGATACTTATAAATTTATGATCCAGTAAATTCTTCATTTCATCTTGACTGGATCTAATCTCAGCCATTATGTGTTCTTTGATATTCTTTCCTAAGAGTAAGTAACAAATCACAATTAACAATTGGTAACCTTGTGGTTATTGGAAGTTATTAGAAACACATATGTATATCGAAAATAAGAAGTAGAAAGATAATATCTGACTAAGATTTTATGCATATCGTTCTGAAAACACTACAGATGTGGTAGAAGGGGCCGAATTCCCAGTTTTTTCCCAGCCCAATGAACACAGAAAATGCACTTAATAGAGCTCAGAATGATAGGAATTACTAAAATGCTTAATATTTCAGCTAGTCACAGAGAATACATGTATAATAAACTCTCCATTTTCATCATAAGGGAGTTGAATAAATGACTAGATTTCTCAAAAAAAACCAACAACACTAATATGTGAAGATTCCCTGAATCTAGATAAGAAGGCAAGTTCACAAATTCAGGTTTATTCTTGAATAAACCTCTGGATACAAGACATGACCCAACAGATGAAGTGATATGACGTTCAAATGTTCAGTTTCCTCCCTTACTTGCCCCCATCAGCCATCCTGTTCAGGGTCTCTCTTTCATCAGCTCCCTGTAGCTGAATAGCTGTCCAAAATCAAGTCTGGATTTCTCTTGGTAAGTTCAGAGTTACTTTCCTCCCTTTATAAAGATCTTTATAACAGGAAGTAATCCACCTGGTCTGTTCACATGAGAAGAAACAAAGGAAGCTCTTCACTGTGGTTTTCTTTTCCCATTCTTCTCCAGAAAAAGTAGTGTTCAGTTGAACTCAGTAACCAGAGTGCTTCCCTTCCCCATAAATGTACAAAGCTCCACCCCCTCCCAAAAAAAAAAAAAAAAAAAAAAAAAAAAAAAAAAAAAACCTGAAATGTCCTTTTTACCTTGATAGGTCAGAAGACTAGTACTGACTGGTATAGGTGCCCCCCTAGATCTGATGCTCCTTTTCTCATGGATGAATTGTAAATTGGAGGGCATCTTGGCCACAGTGACCATGAAGTAGTTGAGTTTAAAATCTTTCCTGATAGGAAGAAATTGCCACCAAAACTTCAATGGATTAGGGGAGAGCAGACTTCAGGCTGCTCAGGGAACTGGTTAGTAACATTCCCTGTGAAACTGGTTTTGATGACATCAAGGTCCAACAGTGTTAGTCACTTTTGAAGGACCACCTCTTAAAAGCACAGAAACCGACAATTCCAAAATCTCAAAATTTAATCAGGCAGGGCAGAAAGTCATCTTGGCAGGGCAGGTATCTTCTTCTAGAGCTTAGGTAGAAAAAGAAAGCGCATGACCACTAGAAGCGTGGGCAGGTGACATGGAAGGACTACAAAGATTCTGTTTGCTGTTCTAAGGAGAAAATTAATATAGCCAAGGCTCAGTTAGAGTTGAAGCTGACCAGTACTGTGGGCAATAAGAAAAGGTTTTTAAAAATATATATATATTAACAGCAGAAGGAGGACCAGAGTAAACATTTGTCCATTACCTTTGAGGATGTTCACCTCACAAACAGGGACATAGACAAAACAGAGACATTTAATGCCTTCTTCGTATCTGTCTTCAAGATTGACGATGAGCACTGGTACCCCAGGTGTTTTGAATTGGAGGACCATGACTGTGAAAATGATAAACTTCCAGCCAGCACTAAGCTTCTGTTGGATTTTCTGCTCCAAATGAATGTGTGTAAGTCTATATGTCCTGATGGGATTCATCCTAGGGTATTCAAAGAGCTTGCTGATGTCATTACAGAACCTCTCTCAATTTTTTGTCAATTTGTCTTGTGAATCTGGAAAGGTCCCAGTTGACTAGCAGCTGGAAAACATTGTTCAAATTTTCAAGAAGGACAAGATAGAAGACCCTGGTAATTACAGGCCCGTCAGTCTCACTTCAATGCCTATTAAAATTATAGAGAAGATTATTCTGGGAGTTACTGAAAAAAAAAATTGACTGACGACACAATCATTGGTCATAGGCAACAAAGATTCATGAGGGGAGAGACCCATTTAATTAATTTAATTTTCTTTTATGACAAGGTTACCCATATAGTTGACCAAGGGATGCCATTTTATGTATTTTTTTTCTAAGCAAAGCTTTAGATATTATCTCTCAAAAGACCCTTCTGGACAAAATGTCCAGGTGTATGAGCAATTGGCTGATGGGTTGGGCTCAAAGCATTATAGTAAATAGGGTAACATCAAACTGGTGGACAGCTATTTATGGGGTTCCGCAGGGCTCAATTTTAGGGCCAGTAGTCTTAAACGCTTTCGTGAATGATCTAGGTATCTGCCCCCTTCAGTGTGGATATCTATTCTAGTGTGGTCGTCCACAGGCTGAAGGGACACCTGCTCCACTATGGTCCTCTTCACAAGCTGCAGTGCGGTACCTGCTCCACTGTAGTCCTCCCTATAGGCTGCGGTGGAAATCTCTGCTCTGGGGCATGGAACACCTCCTCCCCCTCCTTCTTTGATGACCTTGCTGTCTACAGGGCAGTTTCTCCTATTTATTTTCTTCATTCCTACTTGTCATACAGCATTTTGTCCTTTCTTAAATATATTTTCCCAAAGGTGCCACCAGCTTGACTGATTGATTCATCTTTCTCCAGCAGTGGGTCCATTTAGAAGACTGCTGTACCCAGCTGTGCTCAACATGGGGGCAGCCCTTCACTTTTTCCCAAAGGGATCACCCCTGCAGCCCCCCAGCTACTAAATCCTTGCCACAGACACCCAATACACACAGAAAGGAAGATTTTTTTATTCTTCTACAATTACCTGTCATGTTATACTAGTCTTCTCGATTTTATTTCTAGCAGCAAGTGAGAGGCATTTATTGTCCTTTTCCCATTAGTGCAGAATTGCTCCTCCTACTTCATCCTGGAACATGAGTCATCTCTTTTCTTCCTGAATTTTTTAGTAATGGGCGGTCGAGAAGTTTCTGCTGATAGGTAAGAGCACGAGACTTTTAAAGGCTAAAAAAGAAGCACAATTAAAACAGCAAAATAATATATTCTAGATGCTGTTTTGTTCAAGTATATTCTCTTTACTACTTCACAAGATATATCTTGGAATTATTATAATTATAAGAAATATAGTAGAAGATATCTTAGCGTTATTAAGGAAAGAGTGTTTTGATAACTAAACCTCTGAGTATTTATATAAGTTAATCATGTATTGTTTTGAGATTTATATTGTAGTTTAAATTATTTTATTTAATTGAACTACTACTTTGTAAACATATGTAGTGTTCTGATGTGAATGATTGAAAACGTAACATACTCTGCTTTGGAATGGTAAAAATCTGTTAAAATGTTCATAATATAAGTGTAAACATTTATCATAACAAGGAATTAAGGATTGTAGGAGAAATGTGCAAAGATATGGAATGACAGATACATATTTTGCTGTTTTCATACTTTTTTATTCTTGAATGATTTAGACATAGATGTTAATACTCTGTCCTTCAAATGGGGTATTACGGAAAGAGCTTGTAAGTGCAAACTTGCAATCAGAATGTGGATTAATGTGCATTTTCATATGCAGTTTATCTTTTGTAACAAGCAGCTTGTCACAACTTTGTTGGTTGGAAAAGAAAAGGGAGGTGACTTACATGGGGACTCATTATTCTCTAACCTCACTTTTGAGTGAATAGAACAGTATCTTGTGTTTTCCTGCACTGTAGTTGAATTGCCTCCCTCTTATACTCTGCGTATTTTGAGCAAATGCTGGACTCATGAAGCCATGATATATTCCCCAGGTGCTTCCTTACAACACTCAGTTTCATTGCCCTCTTTTACTACACTTCAGTGGTTCACAGTGGTCAAGGACAAGAGTACAAGCCTTTTGGAATTATGATGGCTTGCAGGTGCAAGGTAACACACACACACAGATAAGGAATGGGGTATGCTGGGAGACACAGGCTGATTGATTTTGAAAGGCTATGAGAGGAAGTGAAAAAAAAAAAAAAAAAGAAAAAAGAAAAAAAAAAAAAAGGAGTGCCTCGTGGTAGTTAAGTCACAACAGTCTAGAACTGTATGCACAAATGAGGTCCTGTCTTGCAACTCTGCAACTCTGTGGAATGCATTTATTGTCTGAAGTCTTCTGAGATGGGACCCTGGAGAAGTTTCTAAGGAGGTTATGGGAGAACCAGACCAGACCATCATTCCCTCTCTCAGTTATGTATAGACTACACATGCTAGTCTGTTACAAAGTGAAAGCAGGATGTCATGTCCACTTTCAGGATGTGTTCTTACATTGCACCTCTTGCACCAGGATGTGACATACCACTGTACAAACAAAGTAGGTGGGGAAGTATTGAAATACAGCCCAGTTTCCTAAAAAGAACACAAGAGCAGGTGCTCTTGTATACATTGAATGAGAGCCCAGCAATGTAAGTAGAGGGCTGATAGAGGGCATCCTCCACTCCTGGCCTGACATAAAAATAAGTTTTAAGTTGAAAGTTACTATACCCCATAAAAGGGATAGTTAGGAAACTGATGGACAGCAGTTCCCTCAGATACAGTGAGCTATGAGCTGTGGAAGCACAATTCCCCCTTTGTCTAAATAACCCAACAATTCCACAGGGTCTGAAGACAGCAGGCAGAGCCAGGTGCTACTGGTGGAATCCATCAGCAGCCCTACACAAGGCAAAGTGATGAATCAGTTGCAGGATCCATTTAAGGGGTACAGTCAGGAGCAAGATGGAGACGGGGCTAGAGACAAGCTCCAATATGAGTCCAAAATCTATTCAGGACACAAGGTCCAAAGTCTGTCAAGGAGGGAGAGGTAGGCACAGGCCTGTGGTCCATGACACAAAAAATGTGGCCTCTGTTCAAGTCACACATTTTTCACTTAGGAAAATATCATCAGGAAGTGTGCAGTATATTTCCCACTTACGATATACACAGCATCCTCTGGTTTGCCACCTCCACTTATCACCCTACTTACTCTAATGGTGACCTGCTAAATAACTTCTACCCAGGATGCCAAACATCTGTGCTAACTGGTCCATCTCTTCTTCCCAAGACTCCCCTCCCCAAAAGTTATCCAGTCAGATAGAGCCTGTATATGCTAAAGAAAAGTGAAGATTTCTGTGCCTTGTTTGAGAAAGTGTTTCTGTTTTAGTGAGATTATGTTTCATTTTTTTTTTATTCATTTCAGGAATTCTTTCTCATAGTACATCAGCCATTTCCAGAATTATTAGCAAGTTAACTTGATTGACGTTATATTTTTGGAAGTTTTACAGAACGTGTGCTAAGAAATGAATCTCAGAGCAGTCCTGTTCTTAGCTCTTCCACAATGTTTTTTAATTTCAAAGTGGTTTACAGGTAAGAAAATCCTTACTATATCTAGCAATTCACTTTAGCTACAGAATAGAAATAAATATGATGAATTATATGAAAGATCAGTACATGTAATGAAATGAAGAAAACAGGATCCATGGAGGAAGCTGCAACACAGAAGAAAAAAACCTTCCCTTTCCCCTTTTTCCTGCATTTGTAGAAAAATGACAGTACCACCAAGTTAAACATATTTTTTTTGTGGACTATTTTAGTTGCTGATCATGAAGGGGTTGTTGTTCAGGGTGAAAAGTCCCTCACAGAAACAATTACTGAAACCTAACTTTGGTGTAGACGGATAATCCTGATTGAGATTACTCTGGTCTGAGATGTCAGTCCCTGCCTGAGTCACCTTTAGGACATTTGTTTTAATCCCATGCCTGGCACTGCATGGCCAGGAGTTGGCTCCAAGTTGTTCTGCTCATGTCTTATGCATGGCTTAATATTTGGCTCAGCTAGCCAATTTCCTAAGATATCACACTTGCACTTTCATTCATGTACCCATTCCCTGAAGGAATAAAGGTACTGTAGACCCTGTGTAATGTCTGGCAACTCCCGAGTGTGGAATAACATTGGCCATCTAAGATGAGGTGATACATGACAGTCCTGATCTGGAGTGTTGGCTATCTCAGGGACTAAACATAGGTTTATTATCTTACCACACAGATGAAAGAGGCTTGGTCAGTTTCTCACAGATAGTACAGCCAAGGTCAGTGGAGAGCAAGAACCTACACAGATTGCTTTCAAGCTGATCAGATTGTCAGCTCCTTGCAGCTCATTTATGGTAACTTGCTCCTATCTCAGTGAGCTTTTGTTTGCAATCCTCCCACCGGCGTACCCATGGTCTTCTTGAATAAATTGCTGCCCCCGATAACCCTCTTCTCCATGAACATATAACATGACTTCCATGTATATAAAAACCTGGAAATGTGGAAATCCTAAAGCATGTATGTGCCTGGAGGAGGTGGTAACAATGACTAAAGATCCTGTCCTCATTTTTGCAGGGGACTAGACAACTCTAGCCTAAACCTGAGATTTATGTTTTGGACTAAAGTAACACATAACTTTTTGCCTAATTGCTTCCTTAATAGAAAGAATATATTTGCAGAAAACAACAACAACAACAATACATTTGGTCCCACCTTTTCCTTGCAGGTGAAGTTCCTATCACCATCAATGTTGATCCTTCAGTAGTATGTGTTGGTGAGCAAGTGACTCTGTCCTGCCAGTTGACACACAGTCTCCCCTCCAACACAGGCTTGATTTGGTACAAAAAGGAAAAGGAAAGGGATACTCCACTGTGCTCTTCCCCCAGCCTGGGTGGGGTGGTGGAGCAGTACCAGGATGAAGAATGGTGCAGGATTAAGGGGCGCTGGGAAAGAAGATCACTTCTTCTGATTATCCAGCAAGTGCAAGTAACCGATGAAGGGGAATATGTTTGTGCTGTGAGTGGCAGTGCTGGCTCACAAGAGGCTGTTACTCACCTTGATGTTACAGGTAAGCAGGGAGGCTGTCACAGTGAAATGAGACCTGCTACTACCATGCTGACTTCAATTCCCATCAGGGCTCTTTAGCCTCTGCCTATTCCTTCCTCAACAGTTGAGACCTTCTCCTGGGGAAATATACAGAGACCCAGGAAATAGCTAGAAAGTTTTGCTTCAGTTCTGAGTATCTGAAGACAGGGTACTGAAGGGCATAGACCATGTGGCTTGTCATGTGGGAAAGCCGTGCAATGGGGAACTGCTGAGTATCTGTACGAGTACCTATCATGTTTTTCTACTATGGAATTATCGATATTCAGCTTCTCCATTTAGCTTTGTAAACTGAAAGTCTGGCTTTGTAAAACGATATATATATATATATATATATATATATATATATATGAATATATAATATATAATATATATATATTATAATATATATATTATATATATATATATATATATATAATATATAATATATATATATATTCAGAGCTACTAAGGAGGGTATTTACCAATGTGCAGTGAGCACAATGATACACTAAGGACCCCTTTTCCCTCCTCATTTGAAATTGCCCATCATGGAAGACTTGTCCCAAATATAAACCTGGAAATACTGCCAGAAAGCACATTTTCAGGTCTGACGTTCTGTTGGACAGGTCAGACAGGAGCTTAGTTTGAGTTCATTTAAACAACTAGCATCCACAAAAATGTCATTGATGTATTCCACAGATCAGTGGAATGTGTGAAATCAATTTTTTCTTTTTTGAATCTGTTATGTGCTAGTCTGATTTGATGTCTCTTATTTTGGTATTGGAAAAGACAGGGAACAATTCCTTGCTCTTCTTCCTCTTCAGAGCATTCCCTTTTTATAGCCCTGTATCATATATACTCTCAACCATGTAGAGATTGCTCATCTGGTTTTGCAAGTTCCCAGATAGTTTATTATCACTTTTCATTCTCCATACTCATTGGCGTTCACTGTCTGGGGTAGTGTGTTTCCTTGTGGGAATCAAATTAAATGGCCACTTTCATCTGATCAATTACAGTTGTTTCTATGTGCTATGAATAGTTAGAGCAGTGTATTAACAAACAAATTGAAACAAGACAAAACAGAAAAAATCAGAAAGTGTCATCTTTCTGTAGTTTTTGTTGTTGTTGTTACTTATATGTTTGTTTATATTTTTATTTAACTCTCATGTTTCATCCTTACTGCAATAATTCCATTATAGCACTTGGAAATAAGCCAACTTTGGAAAGGGATCTGCAGGAGGAAGGCATGTGTCGCTACACATGTAAGTCAAAAGGATGGAATCCAAAGCCTGAAGTACTTTGGACAAACTATGGAGGAGGCAATAAAAACGTGGAGGCCGAGACCTATGTAACATGGAATGAGAGAGATCTTTTTGCATTGCAAAGCATCATGACAGTGCCTTGTGATGATACAGATGTGAAATGCGTAGTCACACTCGTCAAAGAAAAGATAAGCCGAACTGGTAGGTAACATTTTAACACTTGTATCTGCATTGCTGAGGGAATCAGACCCCTTCCAGGCAGGAAGTTACACATTTGTGAGTGGAAAACAAAGAGAAGCATTTGTTGTATTTGTTGTATTTTAATACAAAATGCTTAAAAGCCAGAAGGTTTTTAATTGTAGATGAAATAGCAACAAAAGTGCAGGTGTTTTGTGAGATCTCTCCCATGACGTAGTTGGCATTTCTTTGTTGTGCCCAATTCAGTTGCCTCTGTTGCAGGCTCCCTGAATGGAATGATTCTGAAAAAGCCAAACACTTGTATGTACAAAAGCCAAATGAGAGGTTCCTTTGTAAAGCCCAAAGCCATGTGGGTTAATCCCCAAGGAGAAGATCTATCTTCACTGGCCCAGACAAGCATTCTACAGGAGAAGGACAGTGTTTTTGCAACAGAAAGTTCCATTGAGATACCCTGTGGACAACCATCTCATTCTTTCTTTACCACTAATGTGGAATCCAGTCTACACGTAGCTCAACAGTCAGGTATGCAGCAATTAAGATCCATTTATTGAATTTTGACATTCTCTGAGGAAGCGAATGTACCTGCTTTTAATATCAACCTGCACTAATAAACAGGATGGGCCTAAAGCTGTGAATTATTTCATTCAGTTTCCAACAATGCTCCATAGTTAACTTTGTTCAGGAGTATGCTGCTCAAAACTTTGATGAAGTCAATGTCTCTGCGGTCATGGCATCCCATCCTCCAGGCTGTGGCTGAAAACTGGACACATGGGGGAACATGACCACTGAAGATAAGGAAAAGACAGAGGTTCTTAATGCCTTCTTTACATCAGACTAGACTTCTTTACTAGCCACCACTTATCCTTGGGGTACTCAGCCTCCCAATCTGGAAGTCTGGGACAGGGAGTGGAAGAAACCCCCCCACACAGTTCAGATGAAAACAGTTAGAGACCTGTTGCTCCACCTGGACTGTCACAAGTCCATGGGGCCAGATGGGATCCACTTGAGGGTGCTGAGGGAGTTGGCCGTTGTGATTGCTGGGCCGCTCTCCATCATCTATCAGCAGTCATGGTAATCTGGAGAGGTCCCAGTCGACTTCAGAAATGCTAATGTGACGCCCATCTGTAAAAAGGGTTGTAAGGAGAACCCGGGGAACTACAGGCCTGTCAGCATGACCTCAGTGCCAGGAAAGGTGATGGAACAGGTCATCTGAATGCAATCACACAGCATGTGTGGGACCACCAGGGGATCACGCCCTGTCACCATGGGTTCATGAAAAGCCAACATGGCTAAGTGCCATGTCCTGCACTATGGTTACAACAACTCCGTGCAGCTCTGCAGGCTTGGGACAGAGTGGCTGGAAAGCTATGCAGAAGAAAAGGATCTGGGGGTGCTAGCTGAACTGAACATTAGCCAGCAGTGTGTCCAGGTGGCCATGAAGGCCAATGGCATCCTGGCTTGTATCAGGACTAGTGTAGCCGGCAGGACCAGGGAGGTGATCATCCCCTTGTGCTCTGCACTGGTGAGGCCGCACATCAAATACAGTGTTCAGTTTTGGGTTCCTCACTACAAAAAGTCCATCGAGGCCCTGGAGTGTGTCCAGAGAAAGTCTACAAAACTGGTGAAGGGTCTGGAACACAAGTCATATTAGGAGCAACTGAGGGAACTGGTGTTGTTTAGTATGGAGAAGAGGAGGCTAAGGGGAGACCTTATTGTTCTCTACCACTACCTGAAAGGAAGTTGTGGGGAGCTGGGGGTCGGCCTCTTCTCACAGGTAACTGTTGATAGGACTAAAGGGAATGGCCTCAAGATGTGCCAGGGGAGGCTCAGGTTGGAAATTAGGAAACTTTACTTCTCAGAATTAGTCAGGGTTTGCCCAGAGAGGTGGTGGAGTCACCATCCTGGGGACATTTGAGGAAAGGTTGAACATGGTGTTTAGGTACATGGTTTAATGGGTGACATTGGTAGTAGGGTGATGGTTGGACCAGATGATCACAAAATCACAGAATTGTCTAGGTTGGAAGAGACCTCAAGATCATCAAGTCCAACCTCTGATCTAACACTAACAAGTCCTCCACTAAACCATATCACTAAGTTCAACATCTAAACATCTTTTAAAGACCTCCAGGGATGGTGACTCAACCACTTCCCTGGGCAGCCCATTCCAATGCCTAACAATCCTTTCAGTAAAGAAGTTCTTCCTAATATCCAACCTAAAACACCCCTGGTGCAACTTCAACCCATTCCCCCTTGTCCTGTCACCAACATGGGAGAACAAACCCAGCTCCCTCAGCTGCTCCTCGTAAGACTTGTTCTCCAGACCCCTCATTAGCTTCGTCGCCCTTCTCTGGACTCACTCCAGCACCTCCATGTCCTTCTTGTAGTGAGGGGCCCAAAACTGAACAGAGCACTCGAGGAGTGGCCTCACCAGAGCCAAGTACAGGGGGACAATCATTTCCCTAGACCTCCTGGCCACACTGCTTCTTGTACAAGCCAGAATGCTGTTGGCCTTCTTGGCCACCTGAGCGCACTGCTGGCTCATATTCAGCCGACTGTCAACCAATACTCCCAGGTCCTTCTCCGCCATATTGAAGGTCTTTTCCAACCTGAATGATCTTATGATTTTATGAAAAGCGAAGAACATCTGGTGATGACAGGAAAGCCAGGAAGGCAGTGGGCTCCTGAGGTCAGTGCTTCTAGCCTTTTTACTAGCATGGGCCTCTATGTTTCTGCAGAGAGGTTTCTCGCACAGATCTTTAGACTGTCAGATGCTGAGATTTGCACCAGCAATGAAATACTTTGGTGTTAGGGTCTTAAAGAATTATTCTGGCTGAAAGGTGTTTTCAAGAAGCAAAACTAAGGCTGAGCTCTCTTCTGTAATTCTTACTTGTTCAAAGCGTTGATAATCAACTTAAGCTAAAGCATTTTTATGATATTGCTTAGAGCAATATCACTCCATTCAGAGGTCGTGTAGGAAATAGGTATGCTCTTGAATAAAAATAGAGACATAACACCCAGATCAAGTATAATTTAAAAATTCCCCAGGGGAAAAAAATACTTCCCAGTTTATCTCCAGTTTGTTTTAGCAGTGATATAAAATGCAAACATCAAGGTTGTGTCTAGACTTTCTTTAAAACTTAGTGTTCCTCACCACTCTTCCATATGAATAATTATTTTTAAAAATATGATTCTGCTAACCATGTCCAAATGGGACAGACTGTATGACTCCACTGCAACTCTACATCTGTGTTATAATGCAAGGAATTTGATATCATTTTTTTTAATTGCTTTTTCTCCATTTTCCAGAAAACTGTGACTGGTTCTGGATTCTTTACTTCTTTTGCCTCCTCCTCCTTATTTTAATAGGTAAGCTATTCCCCCATGCTACTCTCCCCATTTTCCAGTTCTTCTTTGCAGTGAACTTCCAAACACACTGTAACCCACATTTTCCAGTCATTTATTGTCCCTCCAAAGTGGCATAGACATTCCATGTTGTAGATAACTCATTCTTCTCAAGAAACTAGAAGCTCTGGATGCCTTCAGAAGAATCCTTTTGTAGTTAAATTCACTCAAGAATTTGCCATCCTTCCAAATGTACCCCAAAGCTCTTTAACTCCACAAATCGACATTTTCCATCGTAACCCCATAAAAATATCCTTCTTTCCCTTTCCAGATCCTCTGTGTTTCTAGCACCCAGACTTACTGATGTTGGTTTTCTTCAATACAAACACTTGTTTTTTTGTTTTATTTTTTTCATCACCTCATCATACCTGTTCATATTACCTTTTTATTTATCTGTTTAGTTAGTTAGTTTGTGTGCATCAATCAGTAAAGATGTTAGGAATCTACTGTTCACATGTTTTTTCCATCACAATGCATAGAATTCAACCCGCATTTGCTAGTACTTTGATGCAATTGACATGATATATTTTGGAAAATTTAATATTACTTGGGGAAAAAGAAAAATTAGCTCTTGTGAGCATCAGAAGTGAGCATATTAAAAATGCCAATGTCTCAAAGCCTCTGGGGCATTTCTGTATGAAACAAAATCCTCAGCATTTGTAGAAAACAAATGTGAAGATTTCAGATTATGATAAAATGAATACCAATCTGTCCTCTCTGGGGTGATGGCATTTCAAATTTAACTGTTCATGCTTTATATTCTGTCATGATGATAATAGTATTGCCTTGTTTTTAGCATTTGTACTACAGATTTTCAAGTATATCATCTGGAACCCATTCATTGATACAAGTGAGTTTTCTTGATTTTTATTTATGTCTCCTAAATACATATATATAGTTCACATTTAGGTGTTATGTCTTTTGGCTGGGAATGAAGTTCCTGTTAGGTTTCTATTGTCTTTATTGTTTCAAAGGAAAGCCATTAGTAAGTTGTAGGATTGATACATTCCAAAATTATAAGGAATATGCTTTCCTGTGAGATGATCCTTTCTGTGGAAAGGAGATGTGAGTCTGTAATGCAAACAGAAAGCTGAGAGAGGTCTGAATTTAAGAAAACCTCTCACAACTTTCCCTCATCTTTCTTCCAAACACTGTCCAAAAAGACTGCCTTGAGGGAGGGAGCTCCATGGTACTATAAGCAAGACAAGTTTGTACTTGCCAACAGACTTTCTCTCCTTACAGAATATGTCCTGTCCTTTGCTAGAAATGGTCCTATAGGAAGTAGCCACAGGGAAAGGGAATGCCATGCACTGGGATGTGGGGTAGTGCCACGTTGAATTCCTGGTGGAAGGCAGCAGGAAGGTCTACGCATGATGTGGTAGGGGTACTGCTGATTCTGGTGTGCAAGGGGGTGGCCAAGGAGGGGTGTCATGTCCCTCAGCACCTCATCTGCCAACACAGGCATGTGGCTGTCATGAGCATGGAGACATACACATAGCAGGCCGTGTGTGCCTGGCAGATCTATTTCCCCAAGGTGTGTGGAGACGTGGGAGGACAGTGGAGGTATCCCAGTGTTAGCTTGATGGCAAATGACCTAGATCCCAGGGAGCCCTTGTCCACAGTGCTGGCAGCATCTCCTGCCTGGCACAGCCCTCACTTCTCTTCCTTCTCCCCACCTGTCTTTTGCAGAGGAGCTGCAGGAGCAAGGCAGGGTGCATAAGGATGTGGAGAAGGGTAAGTACGTGCAGAGTCCTGACCCAATACCTCCGTGCATGGGGAAGCTGTGGCTGGATGTGGGTGCTGGTGGAGGATTTGTGTGCCTTGCTGAAGGTTTCCTGTGCTCTTCTGCCAGACCTTTGGTGGGATGGGATGCTTAGCAATGTGTCCTCCCTTTCCACTCTCTCCTGACAGACACCCTGAAGAAGGAGAATGGTGAGTGGGGACATGAATCCAAACACACTAGTTAATGCCGAGGTTTTTGGGTCATGGTGTAGTGTTGCTGGTGGTGTCATGTGTGGGTGACACTCTGGAGCAGGAGTAAGAGTGAGGGAAGGGGATGCAAAGGGAATTCTGAGAAGTGGTGGCTGGAGGTGGAGAGCCTGGTACACTGAGCAGCCCTGTTTCATTTTGGTGAGGTGCAAGGATTGGGCTGGTGACAATGGCCCCTGCCAGAGTCAGAGGGATGCTAGGGGTAGCTGGAAGGGGCGTGAGCCAAGGCCTCCATCAGAGGCATTCTCTGTACCATGTGGAGGTAGACAGTCCAAGAAGGCACTGCCTTGTAACTCGTGTGTCTGGACCTGACCTGTCTTCTCTGGAGGCCATACTGACTGTGCATTGGAACTCCACGCAATGTGTGGTGAGCTATTGTCGCGTTAAGGGGTGTAGCTGATTAACCGTTACGGGCCCGGTCAGATTCAGAGTACTGAATCAGTTGGACATTCACCAAAAATGCATTAACTGTCTGGGGGTCCGTTCAGACATTCACCAAAAACGCATTAACTGTCTGGGGGTCAGACAGTTAATCAATGCTGTACCTTTTCCTTAAAAATGTGAATGTTAGTTTTATTTTCCTGGTTACTTCAGGCAGTTACACCATACCCTGAAAGCCTCTTCAATGCTGTACCTTTTCCTTAAAAATGTGAATGTTAGTTTTATTTTCCCGGTTACTTCAGGCAGTTACACCACAGCTATTTGCCCACAAGCTTTTCTTGTGGGGATAGAGGCCTTGGAAGTGGCGAGTGAGAACAGCTGCTCCAGCAATGGCTCTTGCACCTTAAATATCACTATGATGGAGCCTGCCATGGTGCCATGTGCCATGGTCTGGGTTCCAACTGGTGCTCCCTAGCTTGGGCTTTCTCAAAGAAACGCCCATTGGCCACCAAAGTAGTTGCTTTTACTCCTTCATTTTAGGCAAGGGGAAAGGGGATAGGGGGCAAACATGGATTCTGCAGAGGATTCTGCAGAGGAGCTGCAGTCACACAGCGGGGTGGTAGGGGATGCAAAAAATTGTGACTGTGTAAAGAGATAAAGAAAATATTTGAGCCTCCTAAGTATTCTGGATCCCACTCCTCTTGCCTGCGATCATCCTTGGGAACATTTTGGGTGGGATGTATCACTGCAGAGAGAAGTGAGCCCTTGAGGGGTCTACTCCTCTGAGCAAATTACACACAGAAACCCTTCCAGACCAAAACAGAAATCTTAGCCTTTGGGAAAGGATGGATTTCATGCTAGGGGCACACCTCACTGATGCCAGTCACATCCTACTTGAGAAGAGTGTATTGATGTGGTGGGGAGTGGAAAGCTTTCAAAGAATGAACTCAGAGGAAGATGCTGGGAGGGGTAGCAGGTCATTGTGAGTTTTCCTTCCTTTGCTGTATGGTCAGGAGGAGTGTCTCTCCCGTTTGTGGGACATCCCTGTGACAAGTAGGTTAAGACACCAGGACGTGTCTTCCTCTGCCCAGGGAAGCAATGGGCATTTTTAACCCCAAACTCTCTTGCAGGTGCTAGCTCTGCAGCTCCTCAGCAGGCAGTTCCAGACAGAAGGAAGAAGACTGTCCATGCAGGTGAGAGCCTGGTGTCATGCATGCTGTCTGGAGTCAAAGGGAGGCAGAGAAGCTGGGAGCAGTGTATTTGTCTTGGCATGAATTAGAAGGGCACTGCTTTGCTTTGCCTCCTGGGGCTGCATCCTACTTCAGAGCCCCTAGTGCTGCTCCACAGATTATACTTCAGAGCTGGGAAGGTCTCCAACAAGAATAGTTTTCTATGAAGTGGCTTCCTCGGTCTCCAACAAGAATAGTTTTCTATGAAGTGGCTTCCTCACAAGGGCTTTTCCAGAGTTTTCCGTCTCTTTGGCCACACTTTGGGAGAGGTCACGTCTCCCCTGTCCAGTGCAAACAGTTCTAGCTCGTTGGGCACAGAGGGCTCAGGCATCCTTCGCCCCCTCCCAGCTCTGTTTGTGCACTTGCTGCTCCTTCTGGGATGGCAGCTGGTGTGGGACACTGCCAGAGAGGAGGAACCTGAGGAGGTCTGTCATGCTAAAGGCCCACCCCAGCATGGTGAAACCATTGCTCTTGGAAAGAGCAATGGTAAACCTTCCCTACTGGCTCTTCCAAGCACACAACACTTCCCCTCTCTGTGTTCAGCTTCATCTGTGCATGTGTCAGGATTGGTCATGCCCCTGGAGAGGATCTATGAGGTCCTCAGGGAAGGACTACCATGCAGGAAGGAACACCAACAGCAAGGAAGAGCTCTATCTCCTGAAGGCATAGCAGATCATAGAATCATAGAATCATAGAATCTAGATGAGAGACAAGGGTCAGACATCTCTTAACACCAGCAGAAGCTGCCTAAGAATAAGTGAATTATTTGGTAGCATTGGCAGAGATGTCTGCTGACCTTTTAGACTGTATTGTGTCAAACTTTTATCAACCCCGAAGTACAGGTCCTACCAAGGTCATGTATCAAGGATACATCTTTGACATCATACATGTCCTACTCTAGTACAGCGTACTGCTGTGATTTGTAGTGGAAGGCTTTCCCATGATGAGCTCGTATGAAGATACTGGGCATCTGGCATGTCACTTCTCTTGTTCCTTTTCATTCAGACAGCAAAGAAGGAATCTCTCTCCTTAGTGTGAGGGTTCTATCAAATAGCCAGGTCAAGGCTGTGTGTGAGATTCATTCACTGCACCAGTAAGATAGTGTGCTTTCTCCACTGTAAGCTGTCTTGCAGGTAGGAGCTTCCCAAATGCTCTGCTACATAATAAAGTCTGGGGATGACTCATCTTGGTTGTGTTTTTAACCCTGGTTGGCAGGTAAACACCACACAATCTGTCACTCACTCTGCTCAATTGGGATGCAGGAGAGAGTAAAAAAGCTATAATCATAGCATATCTTGGATTGGAAGGGACATTAAAGATCATCTAAATCCAACCCCTCTGCCATAGACTGGGATGCCACCCACTTCATCAGGTTGGCCAAGGCCCCATCCAACCTGGTTTTGAACACCTCCAGTGATGGGGCAACTTCTCTGGGAAACCTGTTCCAGTTCCTCACTACCCTTACAGTAATGAATTTCTTCCTAATATCTAATCTAAATCTATTGTCTTTTAGTTTAAGACCATTCCCCCTTGTTCTATTGTTATCTACTCAAGTAGAGTTCCTCTCCATCCTTTTTTATGAGACCTTTTCTTCTACCTTTGTAATCTTCAAGTTCTCTACACAGTGTTGTTCTCAATGAGTATTCCCAGTAATCTATAGGAGTGCATGCCAATATTTGAGGGACTGCATGCTAGTGAGAGCATTCAGTCTGCCCCACAAGTGGCTTGGTTCAGTTGAAGACACCTGACATATTTCTATACAAATGTACACAGCATGAGAAACAAGGAAGAGGTGCTAGAAGCATTGACCTAGTCCCAGAACTACAACATCATTGGCATAAAAGAAACCTGGTGGGAAGAGGCCTGTGACTGGTGTGTTGCAATGGACTGTTACAGGCTCTTCAGAAGAGACAGGCAGGGCAACCAAGGTGTGTGTGTATGTGTGTGTGTGGGGGGGAGCGCCCTTTATAATGGAGGCACTGGACTGTATGGAGTTTGCCGTCAGTAACAATGCAGTTGATAGCCTCTGGATAAAGATCAAGGGACAAGCAAATAAAGGGGATGTCGTTGAGGTAGTCTTCTATAGACCACCCAGCCATGACAATGACATTGATGAACTACTCTTTAAAGAACTGAGAGATACTTCTAGATCAGCTGCCCTTATACTCATGGGGGACTTCAACTGGACAGATGTCACCTAGGAATATTAAACTTCTGAGACAAGTACAGGAGATTCTTGAAGCATCTTGATGATAACTTGGAAGAGGGACTAAAGGAACTAAAGTAGGAAAGTTGCCTTCCCGCACCTGTTACTTGTAAACAGGGAGGGTCTGCTGGGTGAAGTGGTGATAGGTGGTCACCTTGGTCATAGCAACCACAGCTAGTCAAATTCAAAATCTTTGGTGATAGGAGGAGAACTTCCACCATAACTTCAACACTGGATTTGGGGAGAACTGATTTCAAACTGCCCAGGAACTGGTTAGTAAGGTCCCCTGGGAAACTGCTTTTAAAGACATTGGGGTCCATCAGTGCTGGTTATTTTTTAAGGACCACCACCTAAGAGAACAGGAACAGAAAATTCCAAAGTGTCGAAAGTCAAGCAACAGAGGCAGAAGGCTGAGCATGGATCTTCTTCAAGAGTGTAGGCAAAAAAAGAAAATGTGTGGCTGCTGGAAGCAAGGCCAGGAGACATGGGAGGACTAGAGGAATGCTGCTTGCCTTTGCAGAGAGAGAATCTGGGCTGCCAAAGCTTGATAAGAGTTGAAGCTGACCAGCATTGTGGGGGACAATAAAAAAGGCTTTTTAAGGTATGCTAATGAGAAAAGGAGGACCAGATCAAACATGGGTCCAATACTTGATGAGGACTGTCATCTAACAAAAGCATAGACAAAGCAGAGACATTTAATGCATTTTTTTTTGCCTCTGTCTTCAACACCAGTGATGGGCTCTGAGACCCCATCTGCCCTGAGTTGGAGGACCATGACTGTGCAAATGATAAACTTCCAGTCAATCCTGAACTTGTGCAAGATTTTCTGCTCCACCTGGATGCACAGAGGTCTATGGGGCCTGAGGGAATTCATCCCAGAGTATTCAGAGAGAGGGATGATGTAATCACAGGACCTCTCAATTAATTTTCAGTAGTCTTGGGAATCTGGAGAGGTCCCATCTGACTGGAAGCTGGAAAATGTGGTCCCAGATTTCAAGAAGGGAAAGAGAGAAGATCCTGGTAATTACAGGCCTGCCAGTCTCATTCAATCCCCACTAAATATATGGACAGGATTATTATGGGAGTTATTGAAAAACACCTGAAGGACAACACAGTAATTGGTGAGAGCCAACATGGGTTCAGTAGGGAAAGTAGTCTAACAAACTTAATTTTCTTCTATGACAAGGTCACCCAGGTAGTTGACCAAAGGAAGCCAGCAAAAGTAATCTTTCTGGAGGTGATCCTTCCCCTCAACTCTGCCCTGCTCAGGCCTCAACTGGAGTACTGTGTCCAGATCTGGGCTCCCCGGTACAAAAAAGACAGGGATCTCCTGGAAAGACTCCAGTGGAGGGTCACAAAGATGATATGGGGTCTGGAGCATCTCCCCTGTGAGGAAAGGCTGAGAGACCTGGGTCTGTTCAGCCTTGAGAAAAGAAGACCAAGAGGGGATCTTATTAATGTTTACAAATAAGTGTGGGAGATGGAGGGATTTGGCCAATGTCTTTTCAATGTTTTGTGGGGACAGGACAAGGGGCAACAGATACAAAATGGAGCACTGGAAGTTCTGCACCAACATGCAAAAGAATCTCTTCACAGTGAGGGTGACAGAGCACTGGAACAGGCTGCCCAGGGAGGGTGTGGATTCTCTTTCTTTGGAGATATTCAAGGCCTGTCTGGATGCCTACCTGGGCAACCTGCTTTAGGGAATTTGCTTTGGCAGGGGGGTTGGACCCAATGATCTCCTGAGGTCCCTTCCAACCCGTACAATTCTGTGATTCTGTGATTTCAGTAAAGCTTTCGATAAAGCTTGTCTCTCAAGGTATCCTTCTGGACAAAATGACCAGAATACAGTTAGATAAAAGTATAGTAAGATGGGTGAAGAATTGACTGACAGGTCAGGCCCAAAGGGTTCTTGTAAATGATGTTAATTCAAGCTGGTTACCTGCTTTTTGTGGGATTCACCAAGGCTCCGTTTTAGGACCAGTCCTCTTCTTTGTTTTCATAAATGATTTGGATGTATGGCTGGAAGGTTTTTGAACGAGTTCACAGTTGATACCAAATTGAGTGGAGCTGTTGACTCCTTCAAGGGTGGTGAGGCCTTCAAGAGAGATCTTGTCAAATTAGAGAGCTGGGCAATCACCAACAACATGAAATTTAACAAGAACAAGTGTTGGCTTCTTCCAAGGGGAAGGGACAAACCTAGTTATATGTACAGACTGGGTGCCAAGATGCTGGAGAGCAGCCCCACAGAAAGGGATCTGGGGGTTTTGATCGACAGCAAGCTGAACATGAGCCAGCACAGTTCCTTGGTGGCCAGGAGGGCCAACTGTATCCTGGTGTGCATCAAGCATAACATTGTTAGCTGGTCAAGGGAAGTGATTGTACTGTTCTGCTTTGTGCTAGTGCTTCAAGTATTGTGTGTAGTTTTGGGCACCACAATATAGAAGAAAGACATAAATCTGTCCGAGAGTGTCCAAAGGAGGGCAACAAAGGGTAAAGAGCCTGGAGTCACTTGGATTGTTCAGTCTTGAGAAGAATATACTCAGGGAAGACCTTGTTGCAGTCTACAACTTCCTCACAAGGGAGAGCAGAGAGGCAGGTGCTGATTTCTTCTCTCTGGTGACCATGACAGGACCCGTCTTGAGGCTTTAATAGGGGAGGTTCACACTAGATATCAGGAAAAGGTTCTTCACTGAGAGGGTGGCTGGACACTGAAAGAGGCTCCCCAGAGGAGTGGTCATGGGTCTGAGCCTGCTGGAGTTCAAGAAACATTTGGACAATGTTCTCAGACACAGTCTGATTAGGTGGTCCTTTGGGGACCCAGGAGTTGGACTCGAGGATCCTTGTGGGTCCTTTCCAATTCAAGATATCCTTAGATTTTATTATACTTGGGTAATTTCAATGCTCCATTCAGCCCAGAAGACTTTGACAAGCTTTCAGAGAGGATCACAGGGCCTGAGTTCTTTCCCTATCACTCTGATGTTAGTCTATAAAAAAGAGTGCAAGGGAGGTGGAAGGATCTTCCCTCTTCTGTACACTTCTATCCAGAGCCTATGTAGACATATCTGCATGGAGGGAGCTTGGGCTCATGGTTCTGGAAAGCTCTATTACCCTTCCATTGGATAAGGGTATCTGATCAATCCTTGTGTGTATTTCCTTCTTCCATCACAATCTGACCCTCAGAAGTACCCCTCTATTACGGAAAAAAACAAAACAAAACAAAACAAACAAACAAACAAAAAAACACAGGGTAAACATCATTGGTCTTGCAAAGGAGTTATGCAGGGATGGTTCTGCCTTGGAACATAAGTAGAGCATTTTTTTTTGTCTTTTCTAACAACAACCCCTTTCTCCATTAGAAAGACAAGGAGCCACTTCCCAAAAAGCGATGTCAGTTTCCCACTGGTTCCTCTCTTTCTTTGCAGGAAATACTGTGGAGGGCAACACCACGAGGGCCCTAGAATCCATGCGGGAGGAAGTGGAGAGCGTACTGAGTGAGAAGCTGGCTGTTTTGCAGAGCCAACTGAAAGTTTCACAGCATGAAGCTCCACATCTGGGTGAATTGGCCAACATCCAGACTTCCCTCCAGGCAATCTCTGAAAAAATGCAGTCTCTGTTGACATCTTTCCAGAATGTGGAGGCATCTAGAAAGCAAGATCTTGAGATCCTCAGAGCAGAGATGGAGGGACAAATAAGTAAAGATTTGGAGGCAGTCAAGAAGTCCTGGACTGAGGAGAATCTGCTGGAGATCGACAATAAACTAGGTGAGCAAGGCAATCCCCCCAAAAGTCTTCATCCTCTGGTTGAACCCCAGTGGGCAGCTAAACACTACACATCTTCTTCCTCATGTTCATCTGAGAGAGAGGATAGGGGAGAGAAGTGGAAAGATAATAGTGAGAAAGCACATGGGTTGAGATATAGACAGTTTAATAGGCAAGGCAAGACATATGCTGCAAGCACAAGAAATGTAAAATATGGAAATCATTCACTGCTTCTGATCGGTGGGCGGATGTTCTGCCATCACAAGGAAAGCAGGGCTCCATCACAGATAGTATTTCCTAGTATTTCCTGGGGCGATTAATGCCATAACTATGATTGCTTCCCCTTCATCGACAACCTTGATGAAGGAATAGTGTCTGCCCTCAGCAAGTACGCTGATGACACAAAGCTGTGAGGAGTGGCTGACACGCCAGAAGGCTGTGCTGCCATTCAGCGAGACCTGTACTGTCTGGAGGGAAGGGCAGGAAGAAACCAAATGAGATTTAATAAGAGCAAGTGTGGAGTCCTGCACCTGGGAAGGAACAACCTGAAGTATCAGCACAGGGTGGGGAATGACCTGCTGGAGACGAGCTCTGAGGAGAAGGACCTGGGGATCCTCGTGGACGACAGGTTGGCCATGAGCCAGCACTGTGCCCTGGTGGCCAAGAGGGCCAATGGGATCCTGACGTGCATTAAAAGGAGTGTGACCAGCAGGTAAAGGGAGGTGATCCTCCCCCTCTACTCTGCCCTGCTCAGGCCTCACCTGGAGTACTGTGTCCAGTTCTGGGTTCCCTGGTACAAGAAAGACAGGAATCTCCTGGAAAGAGTCCAGCGGTGGGCCACAAAGATGATATGGGGCTTGAAGCATCTTCCCTATGAAGAAAGGCTGAGAGGCCTGGGTCTGTTCAGCCTGGAGAAGAGAAGACTGAGAGGGGATCTCCTCAGTGTATATAAATATCTGAGGGGTGGGGGACAGAAGAATGTAGCCAGCCTCTTCTCAGTGGTTTGTGGGGATAGGACGAGGGGCAATGGCTGAAAGTTAGAGCACAGGAAGTTCCACACTGACATGCGAAAGAACTTCTTCAAGATGAGGGTGACAGAGCATTGGAACAGGCTGCTTAGGGTGGTTTTGGAGTCTCCTTCTCTGGAGATATTCAAAGCCTGTCTGGACGCCTACCTGGGCAGTCTGCTCTGAGGAACCTGCTTGGGTAGGGGGGTTGGACCTGATGATCTTTCGAGGTCCCTTCCAACCTCTACAGTTCTGTGATTCCTCCTTCTTTACTCCAGCTTGTATTTCTGAACATAGTATCATACGGTATGCCTTTGGGCAGCTGGGGTCTGCTGTCCTGGCTGTGTTCCATCCCAGCATATTGTGCACCCCCAGCACTCTTACTGGCAGAGCATGTTGACAAGCAGAGAGGACCTTGACCGTGTGGAAGCGCTGCACAGAACAACTAAAACTTCCGCCAGTTAACAACATTATTTTCATCACAAATCCAAAACACCTCGTCGTACCAGCTCCAATGAAGACAGTTAAACTATGCCAGCCAAAAACAGGGTGGCCTCCTGAAGGCAAATGGTGTCATTCGGTGACACCACTGAATGAGCTAGTCTCCGGAGTTCTCCCATGGTAGTGAGAAGGACAGCCCTTTCGTTGGGAGAGGTCTTGTGTCTCACTCCACTGACACAGCCCCATGACAGGGTAGTGCCTGCTGGTGGTAAGGCTGTTTCTTCTCTCCTTCCTCTTTAAAGGGATTTGGTTTGGTAGTTTATCTGTGATGCCTGCACGTGGTGAAAGTTCCAGGTGGGCTTCTAGGAACATCCACCTCCAGGCTCCAGTACCGTCCCTCTCTTTCTCACTCACATTGCTCATGAACAACTAGTCGTCTCTCCCACAGAACAAAAATCCTGCCCGGGGAGATGCAGTGGAGCAATTCTTACCCTCCATCCCTCCCAGCAGCACATTGACAAGCCTTCAGGCAGGATCCCGGAGCCTCTTTTCCTTGCCTAGCCCTCTGGAAGTCAGTCTATGCAAACCAAGGCTTGGAAGGTGCAAGGACCTTCTCCAGTCTGTCCTCCTCCATCCAGAGCCCACTTGAAATGGACTTGCCATAAGCTGATGGAGTGACTGCATAAATTCACATGGGAAGATCAACCGATGTCATCTCCCTAGACTTGTTTAGGGCCTTTGATATGGTCCCACAAGACATCCATATCTCCATATTGGTGTGCTGTGGCTGTGATGGCTGTACCATACAGGGGATAAGGAAGTGGCTTGAAGGTATTACCCAGACTGGTGTTCAATGGCTCTGTGTCCAGCTGGAGGCCGGTGATGAGTTGTATCCCTCAGTGGTCTGTCCATCAACTGGTACTGCTTATTATCTTTATCAGCAGCATATGCAATGGGATCAAATGCTCCCTCAGCAAGTGCAGATGACACCAAGATGCTTGGTGCATCTGATACATCAGTAGGAAAGGGTGCCATCCAAAGAATCCTGGACAAGACTGAGAAGCGAACCTAAAGAAATTCATCAAGTCTAAGTGCAAGGTGCTGCAGCTGGGCCAGGGCAATCCTACACATGAGTACAGGCTGGGAGCAGGACTCCTGGAGAGCAGCCCTGCAGAGAAAGACTTGGGAGTTCTAGTGGACAAAAAGCTTGACATGAGCCAGCAGTGCGCGCTTGCAACCTAGAAAGTCAAGTGCATCCTGGACTGCATCAAGAGAGGAGTGGCCAGCAGGTCAAGAGAGGGGATTGTCCCTCTCTCCTCTGCTCTCATGAGGCCTGACTAGGAGTACGGCATGCAGGTTTCGGGCCCCCAGCACAAGAAGGATTTGGATCTGTTAGAGTGGGTCCAGAGGAGGGCCCCAGAGCTTATCAGAGGGCTGGAGCACCTCTCCCATGAAGCACGGCTGAGAGAGCTGGGGATGTTGAGCCTGGAGAAGAGAAGGCTCTGCGATGACATCCTTGCGTTTTTTCAGTACTTAAAGTGAGCCTATAAAGGAAACGGAAGAGAGTAACTTTTTTATTATTATGATTCTTTCTTCTCAAGAAGACAATGTCAGGACAAGGGCGAATGGCTTTAAACTAAAAGAGGGGAGATTTAGATGAAAGTTTAGGAGGAAAGTCTTCACAGTAAACATAGGGAGGCACTGGAACAGGCTGCCCAGAGAAGCTGTGGCTGCCCCATCCCTGGAGGTGTTAAAGACCAGGTTAGATGAGGCCCTGGGCAACCTGGTCTAATGGGTGTCATCGCTGCCTAAGGCAGAGGGTTTGGAACTGTATGATCCTTAAGCTCCCTCCAAAACCTGATATGTTTAAGATTCTGTGTGACTGATTCTGTGAGTATGGGGAAGGAGTCACTTACAGGGGAAAATTGTCATGAGAGACTGAAAGGCCTGGACGGAGATCTAAGGGGAGGGAACTGGAGTCCAGGCCTTTGGTAAGCTCCACTTCACTTCCACTGGCCAAAGAGTGCCCACTCAGTCCTTGTGTGGATTCCTTCCTCCCATCCCAACCTGGCTATCAGTAGTGTCCCCCTCCCGTAAAACACATCTAAGGAATGGCACCATTTGTGCTAAAATGTGTTTTGAAGGTAACTCCAAATTAGCACAGAAATCAAAGAGCATTTTCTATGACCTTTCTAAGAGGAAATGCTCTCCCCCTTTAGAAAGATGAGGAGGCACTTGCCAGGGAGCGATGTCACTTTCCCAGTGGCTCTTCTCTCTCTTTGCAGGAAGGACCATGGACAGAAACACCGCAAGGGTGCTGGAATCCATGCAGGAGGAGGTGGAGAGGATTCTGACGGAGAAGCTGGCTGTGTTGCAGAGCCAACTGGAAGTCTCACAGCATGCAGCCCCACCTCCGGAGGAAGTGGCCAACAACCAGGCTTCCCTCCAGGCCATCTCCGAAAAAATGCAATCTCTGATCACAGTTTTGCAGAACGTGGAGGCATCTAGAAAGCAAGACCTTGAGATCCTCAGAGCAGAGATGGAGGGCAAAATAAGCAATGATTTGGAGGCAGCAAAGAGGTCGTGGTCTGAGGAGACCCTGCTGGAGATCGACAATAAACTAGGTGAGCACTACGATCCCCAAAGAAGCCTTTGACCTGTGGCTTAATCCCAGTGGGCAGTGAAACACTACACAGCTGCTCCCTCATGTTCCTCTAAGAGGATGGGAGAGAGAAGTGGAAAGGTAATAGTGAGAAAGCACATGGGTTGAGATGTAGACAGTTAAACAGGCAAGGCAAGACATATGCTGCAAGCACAAGCAAAGCAAAATTCAAAAGCCCTTCACTGCTTCTGACTGGTAGGTGTATATTCTGCCATCACAAGGAAAGCAGGGCTCCACCAGAAGTAGTACTTTGTGGGGAAAACCAGTGCAAAAAAGTATGAATGTCTCCCCTTCCTCCTTCTTCACCCCAGCTTTTATTGCTGAGCAAGGTGTCGTATGGGATCCCTTTGGGCAGCTGGGGTCTGCTGTCCTGGCTGTGTTCCCCCACTGCATCTTGGGCACCCCCAACACCCTCCCTGGCAGAGCATGATGACAAGCAGAGGGGCCCTTGACCATTGAGAACCCCTGCCCAGAACAACTAAAACTTCCGCCAGTTAACAACATTATTTTCATCACAAATCCAAAACACCTCGTCGTACCAGCTCCAATGAAGACCGGTAACCTATGCCGGACAAAAAAACCAGGGTGGCCTCCTGAAGGCAAATGGTGTCATTCAGTGACACCACTGAATGAGCTAGTCTCCGGAGTTCTCCCATGGTAGTGAGGACAGCCCTTTCTTTGGGAGAGGTCTTGTGTCTCACTCCACTGACACAGCCCCATGACAGGGTAGTGCCTGCTGGTGGTAAGGCTGTTTCTTCTCTCCTTCCTCTTTAAAGGGATTTGGTTTGGTAGTTTATCTGTGATGCCTGCACGTGGTGAAAGTTCCAGGTGGGCTTCTAGGAACATCCACCTCCAGGCTCCAGTACCGTCCCTCTCTTTCTCACCCACATTGTTCATCAAGAGTCATCTCTCCCACAGAACAAAAATCCTGCCCGGGGAGATGCAGTGGAGCAATTCTTACCCTCCATCCCTCCCAGCAGCACATTGACAAGCCTTCAGGCAGGATCCCGGAGCCTCTTCTCCTTGCCTAGCCCTCTGGAATTCAGTCTATGCAAACCAAGGCTTGGAAGGTGCAAGGACCTTCTCCATTCTGTCCTCCTCCATCCAGAGCCCAAATACCATGGACTAAGGGGAACCAGTCCCTTACAGGGGTAGCTGCTATAAGGTACTGAAAGACCTAGAAAGAGATCATAGGGGCGGAAAGTAGTGTTCAAGCCTTTACTAAACCCTGCTTCCATTGTGGTGGCCAAGTAGTGCCCACTGAAACCTTTTGTGGATTCCCTCCTCCCAAGACAATCAGTATCCCTTGCCTGGAAAATACATCTCAGGAATGGAACCTTCTGTGTTACAATGGCAAGTCCACCTTAGTATTGAAATCAGAAGAGCATTTCCTCTGAACCTTTCTAAGAGGTTGTGCTCTCCCCCTTTAGAAAGATAAGAACACACTTTCCAGGAAGCAATGTCCAGTTCCCAGTGGCTCCTCTCTTTCTTTGCAGGAAGGACCATGGACAGAGAAACCATGAGGTTTCTCGAATCCATGCGGGAGGAGTTGGAGAGAATTCTGATTGAGAAGATGGCCGTGTTGCAGAGCCAACTGGAAGTCTCACAGCGTGCAGCCTCACCTCTGGAGGAACTGGCCAACACCCAGACTTCCCTCCAGGCAATCTCTGAAAACATGCAATCTCTGATCACAGTTTTGCAGAACGTGGAAGTATCTAGAAAGCAAGACTTCGAGATCCTCAGAGCAGAGATGCAGGGTGGAATAAGCAAAGATTTGGAGGCAGAAAAGAGGTCCTGGTCTGAGGAGAAGCAGATGGAGATCAACAAGAAACGAGGTGAGCATAGTAATTTGCCAGCAGGTCTTTGTCTCCCTGAAAGCCAATATTCTGCTTTAGAGGCACGATCCTTTAAGCCCTCAGGTTCTCCTAGAATGTGCTTGAGAAATACAGTCCTTTCTTTTGGAAAGAGTGTACCCAAGTGTCCCTCACAACTGAGACAGTTCCAATGCCAATATTGTGTCTGCAGGTTGTAAAGGTCTTTCTTCTCTCCCTCTTCTTTGAGGGAAGTGTGTTTGATGAACACTCAGTAATCTATATGATTGGTGAAGGTCCCTGCTGGGGTTCTAGGAATGTTGACCTTAACATCCCACTACTGTTTCTCCCTTTCACTTATTCATCTTTCCCATCAACAACAACAACAAAAAAATAATTCTCTCCTGCAGCTCACAAAACCTGCCTAGAGATACAGAGTAGGACAACTCCTACTTTCCATTTTACCTAGTAGACCCATCAGGCAGGATCATAGGGTCTGTGTTTTCTGCATTCCATTGGCATGTAATTCATACAAGCCAATGGAAGTCAAGTTGAATGTTGTTCTGACTTCTGTCCTCTTAGGCATGTCCTCTTGTCCACCATGGGGTGGTGGACTGTTCTCAGAGTGATTACCACAGGAGGCTGAAAGCATCAGAGAAAGAGCTAAAGGGACAGAGCCTGGGCTCAGGCCTTTGGCAAGTTCTGCTTCTTTTCCATTAGATAGGGAGTGCTACATCAGTCCTTGTGTGAATTATGTCCTCCCCATGCCATCTCACCCAGAACATTGTGCTCCGGAAAAACAAAACAAAACAAAACAAAACCAAAAACAAACAAACAATAACAACAAAACCACAACAGCCATGATCTGCATGGTTTATACTACAATATGCTGTGAAGCTGTGTCACGTTGTCACTGAAATAGAACTGTCTCTTCCTGGTCCTTTCTAACAGTTAGCACCCTCCTCCATCAGACAGTCAGCTCCATTCCTCACAGGAAACAATAGCAGTGTAACAGGGGTGGTACTATAAGCAAGACAAGTTTACAGTTGCCCATAGACCTTCCTCCCATTCCTTACAGCAGATGTTCAGTCCTTCACTAGAAATGGTCCTGATGGCTGTGATACCATAGACCAAAACAGGGAGAATGGGATAGAACAAGTGGATTGATAAGTCTGAGTACACATGTATAATTGATGGACCAAAGGGAGAGCTCTGAATGGGAGAGGTGACTATGTAAGTGTTGTTCTCACCTGTGATGAAAGGCTATTCTCCTATCACATTATACAATTCAGCAGGAATGATAGGAATTTCTGACAACAGATAGCAAACCAGAGAAAGGTTGACTTCCAAATATATATTGTAATTAATGCCAAATTAACTGGTGAAGCAGGACAAGTGGTGAGGGAAGAACCTCAGGGAAAGAGAACACAATTCCCTAGGAAGTAGGGAACTTGGAGGTACTATTTTTTGTTGTTGGTGGTTATTTTTTTTTCATTTCAGTTAACGCTCAGAGGAAGAATGGTAAGTGTGCATGTTCAGAGTATAAAGTACATGGATGCCCATGTGGAAGTACATGCAAGCCCCATAGTGGAATAGGGACAGTGGAAGGGCTGGAGCTCTCCTAGACACCTGCGCTCTCTTGTGCCGCAGTGTGCATTTGGCATGGCTGATGGAATGTTCTTGTAAAAATTAAGGATGCTGATTCAGAGTGGGTTCCCTTGTGAAAGCTCAAAGGTATTGCAGCTGAGACAAGACTATAAGCATGGGGCTGTGAGGGAAAGCAAAACCTGGGAAGGGGATCATTGTCCCCTGGGAAACAGGGAGCAGCCAGGATGCACTCCAGGTGTGAGACATAAGGAAAGTGTGGAAAGGTTTTGGTGGGGACACTGGTCCCATGTCTCAGTGCCCAGGGTAGTCCTGCCTTTTTACAGGGCTTGGTAGAGGGTGAGTGTGGGAAGCAGCAGAGAGGAGAGTGGGTGGGGGCTCTCCCAGTGTTGGGGCTGAATGCTCCACTGCCCAGAGTGCAGGAAGCCATTGTTCCCCATGCTGGCAGCAGCTCCTGCCTGGCAGAGCTGTCATGTCTCTTCCTTCTCCCCACCTGTCTTTTGCAGAGGAGCTGCAGGCACAAGGCAGAGCACAGGAGGATGCGGAGAAGGGTGAGTGTATGCAGAGCACTGCCCTGATGCCTCTACGCGCGGGGAAAACATGGTTGGGTGCAGTTGCTGGTGGAGGACAGGTGTGCCTTGCTGAAGGTTTCCTGTGCTCTTCTGCCAGTCCTTTTTTGGGATGGGATACTAAGCAATGTGTTTTCCCTTCTCACTCTCTTCTTACAGAGTCCCTGAAGAAGGAGAATGGTGAGTGTGTCTGTCTGACTGGAGGCTAAGCATGCCAGCTGACGTGGAGGTTTTTGGGACATGATATGGTGATCCTGTGTGGAGGAGTCCTTGGAGCAGGAGCGAGAGTGGGGGAATGTGGAGGGAAGTCTGAGAAGTGGTGGCTGCAGGTAGAGAGCCTGGTCCACACTGAACTGCCCTGTTTCCTTTGGATGGAGTGCAATTCCTGGCAGAAACTGGAGACGCTTGGAGAAATCTCCTTGTTCCCATAATCTTAATGTTTAATTTTTGAAGCTTTTTTTTTTTTTTTTCTTATTTATTTTTCATTGACCCTAATTGCATGTGTTTGGAAATATTTAAACTGTCACTAAAGTGGAGGGAGGAATGTATCAGGGATGGGGCACTCCTGGTCTCTTTTTTGTCCCAGCATGCAATCAGAGCAGATCCTGTGATGGTCTTATACCTTTTGGGACCTCATTGCTTCGTGGGCTCCCTTGCGAAAGCTCCATGATCTCAATGCTGAGTCAAGGCTTAAAGCAGCACCTCAGGAGAGCAAGTAGTCCCAAGGAAAACGAAGGCCAAACTCTGAGCTGTAGGGAACTGTGAGGCTGAATTGCCAGTGGGAGGCAACAAGAATGTGTAGTGGTGCTGTGTTAGGGCTACTGCAGTTTCTGATGTGCAACGGTTTGGCCAAGGAGAGCAGCTGTGTCCTTCAGCACTGCGGCTTCTTGCTAAGGCATGTCACTGTCATTGCCTTAGAGGCAGCAATGTTTCAGGCCATGTGTGCTAGTCAGGGCCATTGCCCTGAGATATGGTGAGCAGCCTGCAGGATAGCGGGGTTCTTCCAATGTTGGCTCTTGATGTTGTACTGCCCAGAGTCCAAGTGTCTTTCAGCTTCTCCACAAGCTTTCTGTGTGGCAATACAGTCACTGGAGATCATGAGGGTGGCTTTTCCATGCGCCTGTCTGTGCCTTGGTCTCACTGTTCCAGCTGGTGCTCTTTCGCTTTGGGTTTGCCAAGGCAGTGCCCCTTAGCCACTTGTAGACTGTCTTTTACCTTTTCGTTTTGGTGCTGCAGGGCTCCACTAACAGAAACCGTGGACTTCCTGATTATGTATGCCTGATGTATGTAAACAGTTGTTTTCTTACTTGACTTTTTCTTCTTTACCATTGAAAGTTAAACAGCATTCTGATTAGCTTTCTGACCTGTAGAAGAGACATTGTACTGTAGAAGTGCATTGTCTTCTACCAACAGCATAGGCTGTTTATATAAGTCATTGGATATATAAGTCATTGTTATATAAGTCATTGGATACTTGGTCTCCTGAAAAACACCCTTTGCATCCTTTTCTTGTTTTCCACAGAATTGCTGCGTGTACAACGGTACAAAGGTAAGAAATGAGAACAAAACTTGCTGAATTCCACTACTTGGATCTTCAATGCAGTTCTTTAAAAAATTTGCCCTTCTCAGGTAACAGTTCTGAAACTAAAAACATAACAGCAAAATTTGTTTCCAAATCTCTCTTATTCATTTGGTGTCCTGGAAACTCTGCAAGACCATTGTTTACTGCTTCTGGAACGTAATATAATTTCTTCTCCAGAAGAATTGTGTTGCACTTTGAAAGGAGAGGCTCATTTCAGGGTGTTTAGCTCCAGCTTTTCTACTGCCAAGTGTGTACTAACATGGTGTATGTGCCAGTCTTGACCAATAGAATTTCTCCGCATTCTCATACAAGAGGATTTTGTGGTCCTAGTTTTACTCAAAGACAAATTCTGTGTGTAAACATGCCTCTTATCCTGTCATCAACTTTATAGAGCTCCAGTGATTAAGGCAAAGGCTTGTAATCTCCTTACATTCCTCTTTGAAGCTACATGCCATTTTCAAAGAAGTGTCACTATGAGTGTTAAATTTACTGAATGCTGGCCTCTCTCAGTGGCCATAGATGGGACATAGAAGGGACATAGGAGATCTGGGATGGCAGAAGGTGGGGGGAGCCTGGTCAGAGAAACTTCCTAGGGCCCATCAAAGTAGATATCAAGGCATGGAAGGGAAATAAATGCACAAGGTCAACAAATGGAAAGTTTCAAAGTACTAACCTTCTTGCCCTTTACTACTTAACTAATTACTTGACTATTGCAGTTGATGTCACCCTTGATGCTGACACGGCTCATCCGAGGCTGCAAGTGTCAGAAGATGGGAAGAGTGTGATTGACACTGGTGCAATCAGAAGGGTGCCCAGCAAGAAGGAGAGATTTGATTCCCACGCTTTTGTGTTGGCAAAGGAAGCTTATGCATCTGGGAGACTCTACTGGGAAGTGGATGTTGGAAAGAGGAGAAACTGGATCTTGGGTGTTGCCCAGAAGACTGTGACACGCAAAGGAAAGGTTGTTCTGTCTCCTCAGAATGGCTTCTGGGCCATAGGGTTGGCAGATGGGCAAGACTATTGGGCTTACACGGATCCTTGGACCCGTTTGACTGTGGGTGGTAGACCACAAAAGATTGGGATCTTCCTGGATATCTTAGCCAAGAAGCTGTTATTTTACAATGTCCACCAGAAAAATGCTTTGTATATTTTTTCCTTTGATAATGACTGCAGCCAGGAAGTGAAGCTCTTTCCTTTCTTCTCAACAGGTTCTGCTGCAACAAAGGTTGACACTGAGCCTCTACAAATAGCACAGGGGTTTGATGATGATGATAAGTGAAGGGACAAAGTGAGAATATACAGCTAATGTATGGCTGAAATCCAGGGCCATAGGTCCGACTACACTGTATTTAACCCCGTGCTTTTTGCCTCCAAATTAAAACCAAACAGCTAATTCATAAAAGATGCTTTTACCACTACTTTCTAAGCTTTCTGTGAGCCAGTTCTCTAGGAAGACCTGGACTTCAGGCCACAAAGTCACTTGTTAGAGACAACCTCCAGGTATTCTAAGAACCTGCAGAAACAAATGAATTCTCAGCCCAGGAAATTAAAAGTATTATTCTCTTTATATATCTTTGTTTACATATCCTTATGTCAGTGTGAACATGATATATTTTTGACATATTTTCCTGCAGACTAAACATCACAGGAAATACTTGGGACATCTTTGTGCAGAATTGGGCTACTATTCTAGAGATGGAGAGCTTTCTGATGAGCTGAAACCACCCTTCCTAAAAATACCTCTGACTTATGTTTCTAGATGATTACCAGTCATAGCAGGCCCTTGTACGTCATTTGCAAGTATGCTCTGCTTCCTGAAGGCCACTTACGTGACTTGACATCAGTGTTTCTCAACGAGCTGCAGAAACCCCTTTCATTTGGCAAGATTTCATTTTGGGCCCCTCGCTACAAGAAGGACATCAAGGTGCTTGAGCGGGTCCAAAGAAGGGCGACAAAGCTGGTGAGGGGCCTGGAGAACAAGTCCTATGAGGAGCGGCTGAAGGAGCTGGGCTTGTTCAACCTGGAGAAGAGGAGGCTCAGGGGTGACCTTATCGCTCTCTACAGATACCTCAAAGGAGGCTGTAGAGAGGTGGGGGTTGGCCTGTTCTCCCACGTGCCTGGTGACAGGACGAGGAGGAATGGGCTAAAGTTGCGCCAGGGGAGTTTTAGGTTAGATGTTAGGAAGAATTTCTTTACTGAAAGGGTTGTTAGGCACTGGAACGGGCTGCCCAGGGAGGTGGTGGAGTCACCATCCCTGGAAGTCTTCAAAAGACGTTTAGATGTAGAGCTTAGGGATATGGTTTAGTGGGGACTGTTAGTGTTAGGTTAGAGGTTGGACTCGATGATCTTGAGGTCTCTTCCAACCTAGAAATTCTGTGATTCTGTGATTCTGTGAGTGTGAAATAGTCCTACACCCCTGGTTTGGGGATGCAGTCCAAATAATCTTCAGGGGAATTTGAAAAGTATGAATATCCTCCATTTTCTAGTGAGGAAGGACAGAATTCACACATGAAAATCAAGATAGCCAAACTTTCCACATCAATGAGCTTGCTCTCAAGCTCTCCTGTCCTTCCTGCCATTTCTAGATTCATGCATTTAATCTTTTTCTCTCATCAAGAAACAACTAATACATTTACAATGAATACACCCTCAAGAACACTGTCCATTTACAATACCTGTACAAATTATCCCATGCACAGTTTTCAGAAGAGCTTCTGGCAGAAGGAGAATGTCTTTCCCTTACTCTCTGTTGGGGCTTTCTCCTGCTAGGACACCCTCTCATGGGAAGTTCATCATGAGCCCAGGAGGCCCTGCACACACAGTCAGATGTCAGGATGCCGAGAATCCTTTTGACCACCCCTAGCTCTTGGCAGATAGTGATGGCAAAGTGGCCAGAAATCATCTACCTCGCAGAACATTTCAAACCTAACAATGCTCTTCACATTAAAAACCAGGCATGGTTGCTGGTCATTTTTATGAAAGTTAAATTTACAGTCAGGGCCAAATAAATGAAGACACACGTTGAAAGCAGAGAAGCAATGACAAGCAAGGAACTGAAGATATCTGGAAGGATGATGCTGGGAAGCACTAGATTAAGAGTGCTTGTTAAAATCTCATAAACATGAACCAGTGTCAAGAAAAGCTGGTTTGAATGGAAAGTCTTTTGCAAGTAGGAAAAAACAGTTTTATTTTAGAGTAATAGCAGTTGCAGCCTGTGGTATTTTCTGGCTTGTTATGGGTGGCAAAGCAGATGCAATGATACAGGTCAGGGCATCATAGAAGCATTGAATCAGAGAATGTCTTGGGTTGAAAGGGATCTTAAAGATCATCTAGTCATAACTCTTGTGCCAAGGGCAGAGATGACACCCATTAGATCAGGTTGCCCAATGCCCCATCCAACCTGATCTTGAACCATACTTTTATGAAGATATGGTCCTGGGCAATCTGATTTAGGTGCACCTGCTAGAGCAGTGGATTTTGATCAGATGACCTCCAGACATATGTGCCAACATCAAACTTTTTGTGATCTGTCATTTCTGTGGCAAAACCTGTAGAATCTTCAAAGCCAAATACTGGACACAGATTCTAACAGGATTAAGTGAAAACAGTTTACCTGCATCCACCTCCCCTGACATGCATACAGACACGTCTCACAAAGCCCCATCCAAATCCAGGTTGATGATGTCAGTTGTTCTTCCTCTATCCACCAATGTTGTAACCCCAAGGTAGAAGGACACCAGATTTGTCAGGTACGATCTGCCCTTTTGAAGCCACATTGGATGTCACCAGTCACCTCCTTGTTTTCTGTGTGCCTTAGTATAGTTTCCAGGAGTATCTACTGCATGATCTTGCCAGTCACAGAGGTGAGACTGAAAGGCCTGCAGATCCCTGGGTCTTGGCATTGTTTCCCCTCTTCCAGTCAGTGTGTACTACATTGGACTGCCACAACTTTTCAGATATGATGGACAATGGCTTAGCAACTCTATCTGCCAGTTCCCTCAGGATTCGTGGATGCATCTCCTTAAGTGCTATGAACTTGTGTACCTTTGGGTTCCTTAGATACTGTAGAACCAGTTTGCCTACACTGGGCTGTTGAAGAATCTCCAACCATTACTGAAAAAAAGATTAAAGAATCAAAATCCTTTATTGGACTGGGATGTGGCGGAGGGGGGGGAGAGGAATTGGTCAACATAGTGACAAGAGAGAAGAAAAAGGCTGAAGTAGTTAATGCCTTCTTTGCCTCAGTCCTTAGCAGCAAGGCCAGCTGTTCTCCATGTACTCAGCCCCCTGACCTAGTAGATAGGGGCACAGTGCAGAATGAAGCCCTCATAATCCATGAGGAAATTGTTAGTGATCTGTTACTCCATTTAGAGGTATGCTAGTCTAGGGGGCCAGGTGGGATCCACCTGAGGGTGCTGAGGGAGCTGGTGGAAGTGTTCATCAAGCCACTTTCCATCATTTATCAGCAGTCCTGGTTATTAGGGTAGGTCCCTGTTGACTGGCAACCAGGAAATGTGATACACATCTACAAGAAGGGCAGGAGGGATGATCCAGGAAACTACAGGCCTTTCAGTCTGACCTCAATGCCTGGAAGGCTCATGGAGCAGATTATTTGAGTTTCTTCATGCAGGGCAACCAGACAATCTGGCCTAGTATTTTAAAAATCATCTGTTTACAAATCCTGCACCAAGGGCAGAGATGACACCCATTAGATCAGGTTGCCCAATGCCCTATCCAACCTGATCTTGAACCATACTTTTATGAAGATATGGTCCTGGGCAATCTGATTTAGGTGTACCTGCTAGAGCAGTGGATTTTGATCAGATGATCTCCAGACATACGTGTCAACATCAAACTTTTTGTGATCTGTCATTTCTGTGGCAAAACCTGTAGAATCTCCAAAGCCAAATACTGGACACAGATTCCATTACAGGTAACAGGATTAAGTGAAAAACAATTTACCTGCATCCACCTCCCCTGACATGCATACAGACACCTCTCACAAAGCCCCATCCAAGCATGACTTGAACTTTTCCAGGGATGACATATCCATAGCTTCACTGGGCAACCTCTTCCAATGTCTTACCGTCTAAATTTAATTCCCTCCAAACATCTAAACTAATCTAAACTAAATCTCCCCTTTTTTTAGTTTAAAACCATTACCCCTTGTCCTATATCTATTTGCTCATGTACAAATTGCTCTCTCGCTCTCTCTCTCTCTTTTTTTTATTTTATTTTATTTTTAATATGTCTCCTTGAAGTCCTGAAAGGCTGAAACAAGGTCTCCCAAGAGCCTTCTATTCTACAGGCTGAAGAGTTGCTCCAGCCCTCTGATCATCTTCACAACCCTTCTGTTCACCCTCTTTAAGAGATCCAAATCTTTCTTGTGCTGGGGGCCCCAGACCTAGATGAAGTACTGCAAATGGGGCCTTACAAGGGCAGGGCAGAGGGTGACAATCACCTCCCTTAACTTGCAAGCTATTCCTCTGTTGATGTAGGCCAGGATGCAATTTGCCTACTGGGCTGCAAGCACACACTGCTGGCTCATGCTGAGCTTTTTGTCCACCAGAACCCCCAAGTCCTTCTCTGCAGGGCTGCTCTCAATATGTTCTGCTCCCAGTCTGTCCTCATGTCTTGGATTGCCCTGACCCAGGTGCAGCACCTTACACTTGGACTTGTTGAGCCTCATTAGGTTTGCACAGACCCTCTTCTCCATTTTGTCTGTATCCCTTTCGATGGCATCCCTTCCTTCTGATGTATCAGCTGCACTACTCAGCTTGGTGTCATCTGCAAATTTACTGAGAGTGTGCTCAATCCCACTGTCTACATCACTGATAGATATTAAAATATACCAATCCCAAGACAGATCCAAGAGGGACACAACACATCACCAACCTCCACCTTGACATAGAGTCATTGACCAAAACTGTATGGATCCCTCCCTTCCTCCCTCCCTTCCTTCCTTCATCCAATTCATTATCCACCAAGTGTTTCACCCTTCAAATCCATATCTCTCCAATTTAGAGATCAGTATGTTATGAGGAACCATGTCAAAGGCCTTACAGATATACAGATTGATGGCATTGGTCAGTCTTCCTTTGTCAGCTGATGCTGTCACTCCATCAGAGAAGGCCACAAGAGCCTTCTTGGTGATGTTGGCTGTCTCAGATCACCTTCTTGTCTTACATGTGCCTTGACATTGCTTCCAGGAAAAATCTGATCCATGATCTCCCCAGGCATGGAGGTGGGGCTCACTGTTTTGTAGTTCCCTGGGTCCTCCTATCTGACCTTTATAAAAATGGGAGTGATGTTTCTCTCCCAGTCACCAGGGATTTCATCTGATTGCCATGACTTTTCACATATGATGGAGAGAGGCTTGTCAACTATGTCGTGGCCCAGACGCCTGGCCACCTTGTTCAGGGATGAATGTTATCTACCCTTCAGAAAGCCACAGTCTCTCAGAGCTTGACACCCCCCAAAAGTAATGCAGCCTCCCAGGCACCACTCTGGGGGGAACACACTGCCACCCAGGTGTCAGGCTGCAAGGTATGTCCAACTCTCACACCAGC